CACGTGCATCAGAGTAAAAAAAAATCCAGAAGTAAACCCATGCCTAATTATAGCTAAGGTGAATAGGTGATTGCTCAACTAAACTAAAGAATTAGCACACTCACTCCATGCTTATGGACATATATGGTTGTCCATTGGCTGCCTCTAGCTTCCCTTTTCCCCTGCCTTATCTTACACAGTTAACATCCACTACTACCACATGTTAATGCCTAAGATTATTCATGCTTATATGCTTTATATATTCTTTATAATCTTTAAAACCCTTTTACTGTTCAGAAGACGACATTTATATAAGGATTACTCGTGTATCACATTGCCAATACATATGTGGGGACATATATGCATAAAGTGATTAAAGGCACTAGATCAATCAAAGTCTGGCTGATTAAGCTAACTAGGTTGACCAGTTGACCCGTCTGACAACTTGGCTTGACTTCTAGGTTAGGGTTGACTTTCTTTCCCCTTTTTAATTCTTTTTCCTTCAGTGGTAGATCCAGCTTTCTCGTGGACACACTCATTTTTTTTAGACACCCACAGACTTAACCATGTTACCATGTACTACCTCTATATTTTAATGTATGACGTTATTGACTTTTTGTCCAACGTTTGACCATTCGTCTTATTCAAAAAATTTATGTAATTATTATTTATTTTATTGTGACTTGATTCATCATCAAATATTCTTCAAGCATGATATAAATATTTCCATATTTACGCAAAATTTTGAAATAAAACGAATGTTCAAACGTTGATCGAAAAATCAACGGCGTCATACATTAAAATACGGAGGGAGTAATTAATACGCATTTGTGTGCCTCGTCTACGTGTGCTCAACTGAAAACTCACATCATGGATATAGGTAATACTCCCACCGGTCATAAATACTCCGTATTTGACTTTAAGGACATATTTTGAATATTTTTTTTGAAACTTTGTTAATAAAATCTAAGAGTACGATAATACTCAAGGCAAATCAATGTGTACTACTTTTGCTTTTAAACAAGGGCATTTGAGAGATTGTTCTTTTTTTTCAACAAGCATTTGAGATATTGACTGTAGTTAAAGTTTCAAAATTTTAACCAAATCTTGTTCTAAATGTCAAATGTTTATGAGTGAGAGTATAAATAAAATATAAGATGAATAAACGTGAGCACTAAAATTTAGAACATCGGAGTTGCAGCTATCGTAATTAAAAGCCAAGCTGAGCTGAGGTATCGGCTTTCTTCGCCCGCCGTTCATCGCCGGAGCATATATGCATCATAGTGCATTAATTCCTATATATATGCTTCATCATCTTTAAATCTTTTTTGGCCTGTTCATGAAGACGACAGTTTATCTAAGAATTGAACAAACTCGTGCATCACATTTCCAATAATACATATGTGGGGACACATATGCACGAAATGATTAAAGACGTTCATCAAACTATGGCTAAGCTGGTCGGTCGATCCAGCCTACCACTTGCACCAGCTAAGCTGGCTTGGTTGACCACAGTTGACTTGATTTTACCCTTTTTCTTTTTCATTTCTTTTGTCTTGTAGCTGGCTTTTTCAAAGATCGATCGTGTCTCATAATTTTAGACACCAACTTAACCATGGCTGTGTTTAGTTCCAAAGTTTGGATCCAAACTTCAGTCTTTTTTCATCACATCAACCTGTCATACACATACAACTTTTCAATTACATCATCTTCAATTTTAACCAAAATCCAAACTTTGCGCTGAACTAAACCCAACCCATGTCATTGGGTACTTACGCACATGTACAGTATACGCGTGTTCTACTGAAAATTTATTAGGCACACAGCACACATGGATATGCGTACTACTCTTTTCTGGACATAAATATTAAGCATGTACTAGGACAATATTTGATCAACATTTTAAAACTTTGATAGTTAATGTTAGGGAAAAGTCCATTTTAACCCTTAAAAACTATTTTCTTAAAGTCCATTATTCATCTTAAACTACGAAACCAGTTACTATTCACCCTAACTTTAAAAACCGGGCACATAACACTGCAAACCATAATTTATAGCAATAGTAATGGTATTTTTATAACATGAGCTTCAAAATTAAGTTTTATGGTTGTAGAACTAATTTAGTGAAATTTACTCACTCTATTTTTTATCTGCTGTAATTGAACTAATGTCATGCAAATAAAAATGGAAGGGGGTACATCAACCAAATATGCATAATAAGAATATAAACTAGGAAAACCACTTCTATTTCAAACAAAACCACGAAAAAAACTGTCCCAAGATTTTTTTTTCCAGTTTCCAAAGTCGAGGGTGAAACTTAATTGGTTTTATAGTTCAGTGTGAAAATTGGACTTTAGCCCAAGTTCAAGGGCTGAAAATTGACTTTACCATTAACTTTATGTTAGAAGTTTATAAAATCTAAAATATTTTATGATATTATGATGATACTTTTCAGAATAATTCTATAGTTACTATTGTTCTCTATTTTTTAACAAAGCATTTTAGAAGTTATTGATGGTCAAAATTTGATCAAACCTTGTGCTACGTATCAACATTTGGCCCAAAGCCACTAGCCCATCAGCATTTGCGATCCAACAAAGCACTTGTTTTTCTTAGGGTCTGTTTGGCACAGCTCCAACTCTAGCTCAGCCAAACAGTTTCAGCTCCACCAAAACTGGGAGTGGAGTTGGGTGGAGCTCTCTCACAAAATGTACTAGAGTTGTGGAGCTGGGTTTAGGCAGCTCCACAACTCCACTCCAGACTCAACTCCTGGAGCAATATTTAGGAGTTGGAGCTGTATCAAATAGGCCCTTAATGTCAATTTACTGCTTTCTTGATTACTTATTTGACAGTTTTTCTTCTGAATCCCGGAGTTAGCTTGCAACATGTCATGAAGCATGGCATAATTCGGTTGCTACTTCAATTCTTTCGTGATTATCCATTGCATTTGATGTAGTTAATGATACACAAATATCCATCGAGAGAGATTCTAATTTCTACACGCTGCTAAGCCGCTGTTCAGTGTTCATATGCATCTGCTCACCATGCAAGTTCAGAGGAAACTAATGTGCAACTGCACCTTTTATATACCTAAGGGTAACTGCATACTGTGTGCAAAATATGATTATGCATCATTTATCTAGCTTAGACACTTGATTTAAATTGTAAGACACTAATGCTTATGGTAGTAATTGCTGTGATTCGTGAGAACTTGGGGTGTTCTTTTCGGCGAATGGTTTTAAGCTAATAAGCGTAAAACAACAAACATGATTATATGATTAATTAAGTATTAATTATTAAAAGAAAAACATATTTTAGTTTTAAAGCACATTCTATACAGAAAGTTTTTGTAATAGACATACCGTTTAATAATTTTAAAAATGTGCTAACGAAAAAGTTTAACAATTAAAAAAAGTGCTAATATAAAACAAGGAGCAGCTAAGCTCAATTACCTTTTTAGAACGACGAGTATAGCACCAATGCTGTATTATCCTTATGTTTTATTGGAAGAACCATTGTATATATATTTGTGTGGAAAAAGTACACCGAAGGTCCCTCAACTTGACATCGAATTACAAAATCGTCCTTTAACCGTAAAACCAGATATAGAACATCCCTCAATTTACAAAACCATTCATTTTAGATCCTTTGGTGGTTTTGACCCCGGTTTTATCTGACGTGGTGGCTGAGTCAGCGTGGGACCCACATGGGTCCCACATGTCATGGTGTACACGTCAGCACCCTCTCTCTTTCCCATTCTCTCCCCCCTCTCTCTCTTCTCCTCTCTCTGCAGGATGCCCGGCGGGTGGGGAGGTCGTCTCCTCTTCGGGGCGAGGCGGGAGAGGAGATCCGGCGGTGGCGGCTGCGACGCTGGAGAAGGGAGGCGGCTCGTGGCGACGGCCGGCGACGACGGGAGAAGGGAGAGCGTCACCGCGAGTGCGACCTCGGGGTCGGGCCGTCGGAGAGGCACGGGAGGCGGCGGCGGCGGCGAGGACACCAAGATGCGCGAGTCCAGTGGCAGCGGCTGTCGTCTCCCGACGACGGCGGCGAGGCAGAGGAAGGGCGGCGCGACGAGGAGGGCTCGAGGAAGAAGAGGAGTGTGGCGCTACGGGAGGCCATGGCGGGGCTCCCGGAGCACGGCGATGGCCACGTGAGGTACCTGGCCGACGACGATAAGTCATACCCCTCCATCGCCTCCTCCTCCAAGGTCTCCTTCCCCATCAACGGCGTTGTGCTCATGTTCTTGGCTCTTCATGGCCGCCGCTGCTGCCAACGACGCCGACGACCTTCTCCTTCTCCAGTCTCTCAGGCCTCTCCGAACCCGAGCTCGCACGCGCGGCGGCGACCTCCCTTCTCCCTCGTCGCCGTCCGCCGCCCTCCTCCTCCCACCACCGCGCTTGCCTCCGGCCCCGTGCCGCGCTGCGCCGCGCCGCGCCGTTCCTCGTCGTTGGCAGCCTCTCCCGCATCCACAGCATCGAGGTGACGCTACTCATCGTCAACCACGACGGCGCGCCGCGGCGGCGTCGGGGCAGATGGGCATCTGGCCCTCCCCATGCTCCCACTTCTCCTCCTTCCGTGCTCCAGCCACAGCCGCCCTCCCCTTATCCCTCATCTCTGCGCGCCGCCGCCGCCGCCACCTCTCCTGCCTCGCCCCGCCGGCCTCCTCCCGACCTACCGCCACCTTGCTCGAATCAAATGAAGAGAGAGAGAAAGGAGGAGGTGAGGAAACACGGGAAAGAAAGAGGTGATGACGTGGATAGTCTGACAGGTGGGGCACACGTGGGTTCCACGCTGACTCAGCCGCCACGTCGGACAAAACCGGAGGTCAACACCACTAAAGAACCTAAAATGAACGGTTTTGTAAGTTGAGGGATGTCCTATATCTGGTTTTGCGGTTGGAGGATGATTCTGTAATTCGATGACAAGTTGAGAGACCTGCGGTGCACTTTTTCCTATTTGTGTAGCATGAACCTTTATTTGTGTATGTTTAGTGGGCCGATTACTAACCGGCCCACTAATGGAGGTCACGCAGGGTTCAAATTTGTCAGATTTTGATATATTCAATGTGTTTTGCCCTCAATGGATCCTCCTCCTCCATGGCGCCGCCACTCGCCGGAGTTCGATTCCCTCCTCGTCGCCGGCCCGCGCCTCGGCCCGCTCAAGCAGGCCCACGCGCGCCTCGTCGTCGCCGGCCACGGCGGCTCGCTCCCGCTCGTCACCAAGCTCGCCACCCTCGCCGTGGCCGCCGGCGCCGCGCCCTACGCGCACCTCCTCGCGGCGTCCCACCCCGCCTGCGACTCCTTCCTCCTCTCCTCCCTCGCCCGCGCCGCCGCGCATCGCGGCCTCCCCGGCGAGGCCATCGCTTTCTACGGGCGCCTCCTCGCCGCCGCGCTCCCTTTCTCCAGCTTCGCCTTCACGGCCGCCGCCAAGGCCTGCGCCGACCTCTCCGCGCTCCGCACCGGCATGGCGGTGCACGCGCACTCCGTCCTTCTCGGGTTCGGCTCCGACCGGTTCGTGCAGACGGCGCTGGTCGTGCTCTACTCCAAGTGCGGCCAGCTACCCGTTGCACGCAAGCTGTTCGACGCAATTCGTGACAGGAGCGTGGTCGCTTGGAACGCCATGATTTCTGGGTATGAGCAGAATGGGCTTGCTGAGCGTGCGATTGAGGTGTATAGGGAGATGCAGGTGGCTCAGGTGGTTCCTGATTCCGCAACGTTTGTCGCTACGCTCTCTGCTTGTGCGCAGGCTGGTGCTCTGGATTTGGGACGTGAAGTGGAAAGACGTATCGTCTCTGACCAGATGGACGTGTCTGTGTTTCTTGGCAGTGCTCTTGTCAACATGTATGCCAGGTGCGGTCTTGTGAGCAAGGCTCGCGATTGGTTTGACAGGCTCCAAGAGAGGAATGTGGTCACATGGACTTCCATGATCGCAGGGTATGGAATGCATGGCCATGGTCGCGAGGCGATCAAGCTGTTCCACTTGATGAGACGTGAGGGGCCAACACCCAATGATGTCACTTTTGTGGCTGTCTTAGCTGCGTGTGCGCATGCTGGGTTAGTTAATGAGGGTCGCAATGCTTTTGATTCCATGAAGAGGGTCTATGGACTTGTCCCTCGTGCCGAGCACTACTGTTCTATGGTTGATATGTATGGAAGAGCTGGACTTCTTGATGACGCAATGCAGTTTATATGTGATTCCATACCAGAAGAACCAGGACCTGAAGTTTGGACAGCGATGCTTGGAGCGTGCAAGATGCACAAGAATTTCAATCTTGGGGTGGAGGTGGCTGAGCGATTGATTGCTCTTGAGCCTGAGAATCCATCCCATCGAGTGCTGCTTTCGAATATATATGCTCTTTCTGGTAAAATGAATCACGTCGAGAAGGTGAGGAATGTCATGATCAAGAGAAGATTGAAGAAGCAAATCGGATACAGCTTGATTGAGCTAGGAGGTACTTCACATTTGTTCCGCATGGGCGAGAAGTCTCATCAGCAAACGAGAGAAATTTACCGGTACTTGGAGGAACTGATTCATAGGATTAGTGATGCTGGCTATGTACCTGAAACTGACTCAGTGCTGCATGAGTTGGAAGAAGAGGAGAGGGAGGTTGCACTGAGATATCACAGTGAAAAATTGGCAGTAGCATATGGCCTCATGATGAGCAGTGGGAGCACCGCTCCAATCAGGGTAATAAAAAACCTGCGGATATGTGGCGATTGCCATCTCGCAATCAAATTCATGTCATCAGTGGAGAGCAGAGAGATAATTGTCAGGGACAAGCACCGCTTTCACCATTTTAAAGATGGCAAGTGTTCCTGTTTGGAATATTGGTAACTCTCCCTGGCTGTTCTTAGGTGCAATTCCCAGGTACTAAATTGACATAATAGTTTCTCAGGATTGAATCACTTCACGTAAAAAGTCTACTTTGCTTTTGCCAAACAAGTTGCCTATCATTGTGTACACTACCCAACCAGGACCTTTATCATCAGCGTCATCTTGTCAATATTTTATCACCCATGGCACAAGGTAACTTCTTCTGGGTTGTCTAATTCAATAAGTAGAGTAATTTTTCCTGATTGATGGGTTCTGTTGCTTCTCTGTTTGGTTATTTGTGGGCTCTGGCTTGTTGGTAAGTGTGTTGGATTTGGAGAACTCCTTTTCTCTTAATATGCTAACCCAAGTTTTCAGCTTAGTTACATTACATTTATCTTTCCCCCAAAAAAAACAAGACACATGTTTGTATAAGATTAACCATTTATTTATTTTTATTTTTTCACTGGCATTTCGATTGAATTCAGCATAGTTCGTAACGATGATCTTAATTGTTGTCAGTTCCCTATTTCTACGTTTTGCTCGCAAGTTTGTATCAAGCTCCATCATTGTTCTAATCTATTATATTATTAAAGGAATAGAAAAAGGAGCCTCCACGTTCGCTCTCATGGTCTAGAAATTCTCACATTAATCGGAGAAAAAGAAAAAGTTAAGTTCATATAGAAATACAATTTAGAAATAGCTGAAATTCGGAATAAAAAAAAGGAATATTAGAAGAGGAGACTAGAGTCCATATAGAAATACAATTTAGAAATAGTTGAAATTCGGAATTAAAAAATAAGGAATATTAGGAGAGGAGACTAGAGTCCATATAGAAATACAATTAGGAAATAACTGAAATTCGGAATTGAAAACAAAGAATATTAGAAGTAGAGTATAGAGTCCATATAGAAATACAATTAGAAAATAATAGAAATTCGGAATTAAAAATAAGGAATATTAGAAGTAGAGTATAGAGTCTATGTAGAAATACAATTAAGAAAAAAAATAGAAATTCGGAATTAAAAAATAAGGAATATTAGAAGTAGAGTATAGAGTCTATATAGAAATACAATTAAGAAAAAAAAATAGAAATTCGGAATTAAAAAATAAGGAATATTAGAAGTAGAGTATAGAGTCCATATAGGAATTTAAAACTAACTAAAATTCGGAATAAACATAATAAAATTAAAAGTAGAGTTTAGAGTCCGTGTAAAAATACAATTTACAAATATCGAGATTAAGAAAAACATGGGAAGAAGAGTTAAAAGTAAATATAGGAATGCAATTTAGAAGTAACTGAAATTCGAAATTAAAAATTAAAGAATATTGAAAGATGAGTTTAGAGTCCACGTAGAAATACAATTAAAAATAATAAAAATTCAGAAATAAAAATAAATAATATTGGAAGAGCATAGAGTCTATATAGAAATATAATTTACAGAAAATTCGGAACTAAAAAAAGAAATATTAAAAGACGAATCTAGAGTCCATATAGGAATATATATAATTTACAAATTTAAAATTTGATAATAAAAATAATTAATAACTAACACGTATATAAAATACAATATGAATATTACCCATTAGTAGTTTCGTAAAGTTATTGCAAAATTTAAAATTATGTTGTCATTTTAATATATTTGAATAATATATTGAGAAAACATATATGCTGTTATATGAGAGAAAATATAATAATGCTAGCCGTGCAAGCTGTGCGGGCCACCATGCTAGTTTTGCTTTATTTTATAAGAAGCCAGAATCCTGGAATCATGAAAATGGCTTTTGGAAGGAAAAGATGCACTCCGACGAAAATGTGCTGCAACTGCCGTTACTCAAGTGTTTGAAGTTGCAGGTCAGATTCTAGGATATGTGTGGCTGTGGGCTTGGATACAGTGCTACACTGCAATAAAATTCTTGCCGATGAGGATGAGAGTTAACCGGATAATACAGAAGCATGGTGATAATTACAAGGTATAAGAAAATATTCGAACTGCATGAAGTAGCATCATAGATTGACAAGTTAAATTCTGATTCTGAACATGCAAACTAGTAAGAAATATCATATTATTTCTTATTCGCAGGTTCAGACTACGTTGAACAGCATGCAAAAGCTCTGGAAGAGATACATGTTGGTGACGAGAATATTGTAGCATCATACAGACATCTGGAATTCAATTTTACAATGTACTTTACTCCTAACCTCACACTAATGAGGAAGAAATCGCTGACAAGAAATATGTAAGCTAATTGTAAGTGTATAAAAATGGACTTGTTGGCTGTTGGAGAGGACTACAATCAGATGGATTGCTAGCATTCACCTTCAATTTGGAACAAAATTAGGAAATACACACAAAAAAAGTCAAAGTTCTTCTGTATTTTTATCTAGGGATCTAATTGTGGATTCAGCAAATTTAATTGTTATTACTCACATCTGATAACAGTGAAAAGCTTATGTGTGGTTTTAGGTTCCAATGCTCCATAATCAATTCTTTTATTTGTTCATGCAAATATTATTACAAGGGTATTTTCACTATCTGGCTATTATGATATTGGAGTTAGCTACTAATTCACAGTCAGGCTTTCATTGGTAGATTCTCCTGATGGAGGCAAATCAATGAAATATGTTGAAAGGGAATACATTGCCTACAGACTGAGAAAACAAACCATTTGCTTACCTACTGCTGCACAATCTCATAATAACAGCTAGGGGTACAGTACCATTTTAAGGTTAATCTAGAATCATACTCCATGGCTCCATGAGTACATTGTCCATCCATGAAAGGTATGCCTACACTAAACAAACACCAATCTTGCAGAACTCAGTCTGTTGGTTAATCTCTTCATGAGTCATGACATATCTACTCTAACAACCAGGCTACACCATGCATGATTAATTCTACTCCCGATCAGCTTGTACTCGTTGATTGGCCCCAATTGATTTTCCTCATGGGATCACTTGCATTTCCTATCATCATCCGAACACAACCTTCCATACTGTCAGGTAAAAGATTGCTTCAGTACTATCATGATTAAGTGTTCTTTCAAAAGAAAAAAAAATAACTGGAGTATCATGATCAATTAACGCCTCATTTGGCTTGTGAAGTTTTAATATGAACTTATGAAGTTTTATGGCTGATGCACCATGCTTATCTAAAGTTGTTGTAGAAACATATAATCATTGTACTATTTATTTTTACAAATCAAAACAAGCTTAGCCATAATATGTTACATCTAACTGTCAATCTGTCCTGTCTCTCACAATTGTTCCAGATTTTCAAAACACAATGCAACAGTAGTAGATTCGTTTTTCAAATGCTAAAAAAATGTCTGACAGTAGTTGCATCAAACAAATGTTACCACCAATTATCATAATCAAATCTCAATGACATAATTAGCTTAGGTCTAAGTGCAGATTGATCACCTACCTGTATGTACATGAATAATCAATCAAGTCAGTTCATCATGATGAGTGCATGGATTGGGCGATCGGCGCCTCGCTCTCATGCGACGACGTCGCCGACGAGCACTCCTTCTCCTCCTCCTCCTCCACCTCCTCCACCACGGCGGGCTCGCCGCCGCCGGCGCCGGCGGCCTTCTCGCCGAGCACGGTGGAGTCCCCGAAGTGCACCCGCCGCGTGCCGCTGTGGCTGTAAGACCCCATGGCCGACCTCACCGCGCTCTTGAGGTTCGTGCTGCTCGGCAGCGGCGCCACCGCCGCCGACGACGGCTGCCGCTCCACGTGCCCCGCCGCCGCCGCCGCCGCGTTCGCCTTCTCCGGCGCCGACGACGACGAGAAGCAGCAGCAGCAGAGCCGGTACGCGCACGTGGCGATCCAGAACGCCCACGGGAGCGCGACGAGCGAGAGGCCGGCGACGGGCAGCCATTCCGGCACCTCCGCCGGCGGCAGCGCCAGGTAGAACACCAGGCACCCGCCGCCGGCGAGCACGGCGAGGAAGAGCGCCGCCGCCACCGCCCACACGCACGCGCCGCCCGCCGCCCGCCCGGCCTGATCCGCCGCCGCCTGCCTCTGCTGCCCCATTCGATCGATCAAGAATCAAATGGCAATTCACAACCAAGAACGCTCAAATTATCAAATGGCAATCCAATCAAGAACTCAATTGGGAGAGCCAAGACAAGACGATCAAATTTGCAATCTCTTCTCCTGTTCTTGGTGTTGTTGATCGCGAATTTCGCAATGGAAGAGACAGAAGTTTTGATCTTTCTTGGTGTTCTTGCTCTTGCGGTGTGTGTTCGAGAGGAAGTTGGGAATGTTCAACAGATTTGGCAACTGAAAAGTAGGGGAGGCAGTTAACGAGGACGCCCCATAATAGCATGATATATACAACTGCGTGGGAAATATGAGATCAATTCACAATTCTCTACATAATAAAACTATATAAAATTACATTAACATTTAGACAATGTAGTTCATTTGCTTCATTCTTGGTCAAAACTCAAATTATATAGACACAGATACATACAAATTAATTATTTTTTTTGCTTGGCATCACAATTGTGAATTATTATTTTTGCTTGGCATACAAATTAATATATGAGCACTGCTACGCGTACTAAATTTTTACTAACAATCATCTTAACCGTTTGATTTAGGTATATGAAAGTTATAACAAATCTAGATGCACTTAGCATGACACATCGCTGTTAGTAAAAATTTATTAAGAAAAAATTAGTGTGTATAGCCTTTTCCTTAATATATTATGTAATGTTTCTCACAATTTTACATACATATTAAAAAATACATTATTATTTGTTACGTAATGTACATTGCTTCATTCTTGATCAAACGGTACGCAGATACGTACAAACTATTATTTGTTGCTTGACATCAAACTAATTATTGTGCTAGCTTGACATTTACTTAATTTACAAATTAAATTACATCATAATCATCTGACAGTCAGACATGGTTACACAGAGTCACAAACACTGAAAAAAAATGACCAATCAAGTGCACTAATTAAGCACACAGCTGCACACAGATCAGATCACACTGATCAGCTAGCTGAGCCTAAGCAAGCTGTAAAGCTCCTTCATGTACAAGCTCTCCTTGTCCTTGTTCCTCTTCTTCCTGGAGAAGAGGATGCCATTGATGAGAGGAACGATCAGTGGCACGATCGGCTTCTCCTTCTGCACCTTCCTCCTCGCCGCCGCCGCCGCCGCCCTTCTCTGGCCACCGATCACCATCTCGCCCGCCGGCGCCGGCGCCGGGCGCCGACGACGTCGGCCTCGCCGAGCCTGAGAAGCTCTCCCAGCGGCTGCCGCCTCGCCGTCGCCGCCGCGTGGGCGGCCGCGGTGGCGACGCCGCGGCGCCGGTCGCCGCCGCCGGACGCGGCCCAGACAGCCAGCGCCATGTCGCGGCCGTCCCTGCGCTGGATGCGCGCGCGCTCCGCCGCCGCCCTGTCGGCCTCCATGTGCGCGAGCTTGGAGAGCGCGCGGTGGAGCTTCGCGCTGAGCGTGGCCATGGCGAGCTCCGTCTCGGCCAGCCTCCGCTTCAGCTGCACCACCTCCTGCCTCGCCCTGGCGGCCTCCTCCTCCACCTTCCTGATGGAGCCCATCACCATGGCGTCGCTGGCGGAGGCGGCGGAGACGCCGTCGTCGTCGTTGGCGAGCGACGGCGACGACGCGAAGAACGGCGGCGAGGATGACGGGACCAAGTACATCGCCGGCGGCGTAGCATCCGACGCCACTGGAAGCTTGGCATTGACACCAATGGCGTTCGGCTTCGAGTGGTTAGAAACCCTGACACCATCTCCTCCTCCTCCTCCCTCGAGCTTCGCAAACGAGGCGGCAATGGCCAAGGTGTTCGACCTGGTCCTCCCCTCCCTACCAGCACGGCGGTCACCGCCGCCATACCCGCCACCGCCGTTCCGGTTCTCGCCGACGAGGATGCGCTCGCCGAACACGGCGACCGCCTCCTTCACCGACCGGAACGCGCTGGAGGTGTCGACCTCCGCTCGCGCGCGTTCCGGCGAGGCGGCGGTGGCGGCCATGGCGCCGCCGTGCAAGGTTGGATGGCTTCTCTCCAGGCAGCAATGGACATACAATCTTGGAGAGATATATATACATAAAGGTGAGATCATGCAGAAACAGTTTGCTTTGCTTACACTACAAAATGGAGGCACATTGGGAAGGCCAGGAAGCAAGACACAAAGACTAGCCACCTAATAGGATCCTTCAAGTAGAGATGAGGGACAGTACAAGTTCAGCTTATACAGGAATGCCTTCACTGCAAAAATGAATGCTTTCAGTGCAAAAAATACAAATGGATGAATGCTTTCAGTGCAAAATACAGAGGATGGTAACATGTGCTGCCCCCATTAAGGAACACCGTACATCATGTCAATATTTCAGATACTACTAAACACATTGGCATCATGACAGTGGTTGCATAAATCATGGCCCTTCAACAGAAGTGTGGCCCATTTTCACTGATCTTGTGAACATTTCATCACACCTTCCAACTTGTAATTTTCACTCAAGTGCACCAACCAAACTAGTAAATTTTCCTGAATGCGTTATTCGGGCTAAGAGTTCAGTGCACAAATTCAGAAGCCAATGTTGCACCAAACATACACAAGCTGTAACACTGTTTCATTTCGTTGTATTCAGGGCATGGATCCATTGTACATCGAGCTCGACAAAATAAAAAATCAGTCTTCCGGTGAAAGGCAATATGTATCATACTCGGCCCCTATCCCAATAAAATTGTAAAAGCTTATTGAACAAACCAATGATAAGAAGGTAACCAGCCAGTGAAGTTACCCCATACCAACATAGGTGACAGCTTAAACAACTAACTTACATGACCAGAAACACATGCTACACATCTACGGGGAAGCATATCCTATCGCAATTGCCTCAGGGAAAAACAATTGCTGGATGTGTCTAAAATGTAAGGTCCTTGGGATCCTCAATTATCTTGGAAAGAGTTTGCAGAAAAGCGGCAAGATCAGCTCCGTAAATAACCCGATGATCAGCAGTAACATTGACCTAAGATGTATTGGTCAGGTGAGAAATTAAGCCAAAAAAAAACTTCATAATTGGCTTGTGAGAAAGAAAGTGTGGCACAGCTATGATTAAATTTACCTGCATTTGGTTCTTGATCCCAATACTACCATCTTTTGTACCAACAAGTGTTGGTTGTGATGATCCAACGGCCATGATTGCACCCTGTTTTCAGCAATAAAGATAATAACATAAATCATGCAGCAAGCAGCATTGAATGATAATAGAAATTAAAAGATGGAAATTTCGTCTTACAGTTCCAGGTGGCAAGATTGCATCAAATCTGTCAACTCCAAACATACCAAGGTTTGAAATAGTAAAGGTGCCTGCAATTTGAATATGAACAACCATTAGCATAGATGTTAGATAGTTCATACATACATGTTTTCTTCTGCATTTCATCAAATGCACTATAATGAGTCTGTAGTTTAATCAATACGCTGTCAATTTTCACATACACTAAAAACATGAGGAAACACATGATCTGAAAACTCAAAATTAATGAAATTCTAAAACATTTGCTCATCAAAATATGAATATGCATGGTTCCAATACTTTCTATGCTGAGTTGAATGAAAAAAAAACTAAGCCAGAATCACCATAAACAAAAATGAAAAAAAAAAAAGGTGTGCATGTCTCCGTCATCAGCATAGCAGCATCATATTATTTTAAGATTTAGATTCTAGAGCAGGCGATAGAACTAACAGCCATACCAAATGAAAGAATCAAGGACTACCATTAGATGGGAACATTACGTCTTTTGCTTTAAAATGTACAAATGCTTATAACAAGAAGGAGCACTGAAAGAAGCTCAGTCAAAAGTACAAGCACTATTAATAAAGTCTGGCACATGTGATGCAGTGCATCGCGCTGCTTGCCCTTCTCTCAGGGGCATATCCTGTGAAAATAACTTAACTTTCCAAATTTCATACAAATCAGGGAAAAAGTTTTTGGGAATTGAGTACCCAGGTTGGGATCCTCTCCAGCTTGAATTTGGGTGCCTTTTCTTCTTAATAAAAAGGACGCATAGTAGTTCTTCCTAGGTGTTTTCATTTTCTTTTAAAAATTGTAATGAATTAGAAAGAAGGGGGAATTTACAGCCACGCAAAATTCCACTCACTCCGTTTGACATTCCTTCATGTTTTAGCATGTGGCACAAGAATTAATATGTAGACAAACTCTTCCCTAATTGTTTTCCCCTCAAGAAAAAAGAGAGACCCACTCTAGCCCTCTTAATTTTCACAGGCCCATATTATTTCATGAGTGAGAGCATTGGTCTAATGCATCCATACATGCATATACAGGCAAAGATATACTACCGCCGTCCCAAAATGTAGTTATTTCTAGCACAAAACCTTGTCTCAAAATAAAGCTATTTCTCCACCTACCTCCTCCTCTCAACCAATCATAACCATTCCCTTTCATCTACTTCCTCTTCTCAACCAATCACACACTTGCTCCAATCATACTCACCTACTTTCTTAATACTCGTGCCAACCTCAAAAAAATGTTTACATTTTGGCACGGAGGAAGTAGCTCCTAAGCTCCCAGCTCACAGTGTGTCAATTAGGTTGCTTAAATGCCTGGATGACAAATGTAAGTACCTGAAGAGCATCTATTGGGGTGGGTACGAGTATTTAAGAGATTCATGAAAGTGACGGTATAACAGGAGTTCTTGTAAAATACTGTCCTTGGTAGCAAAGAACGTTGTATATTTACGAAGGGGACTAAAATAACATATATTTATGACAGGAGGGAGTGACACGAGATTTAAGACAGTATTAAGCAAATTACAGCTAAGTGCCAGGTCATATAATAAATTGAAATTAGGTTCATTCAAGGTCTCATACTCCCACGTAAACAAATGGTGGTATGGAATGTGATATCTCAATAGTCAGTACATGCCAGGTTTTAGGGAACCTATCTTCAGGGTGAAGTTGAAACCAGCCAATTTAGTCCCACAAAAATGGCCCCTTTTGTATTCCGAATTCCTTTTTTTAAAAAAATGACCCTATATGTTTCCACACAGGTTGTGATTAAAAATGTCTTGGATGAGAGCTAAAAAAAAACTGGTTGAATAAAATTATATGGTTTGTTACTTGGTTCACAATTAAAAAAAAACTAAACCTTGGCACATACCTCCAACAAGATAGTATTCTAGTATGGAGCATGCTCACAGGTGTCATACCAAAGGTCCAGGGATCAACCTATCTATTACTCTAGGAACAATCCTAGAACTACAGCAAATGGATGATTTTTTTCAGGATTATTAGTGCATTACAATATCAAATGAGCACAGCTATGGAAACCAAGTAACCAACAGGTACTCCTCCGGATATCATGACACAACTAAGACAATGGATACCAATATGGGAGAATTTCAGGTACTAGAGCACCTGTGTAAGTGTTTATCCATATGTAGATTGGATGTAGATTTTAAATTTTGTGGTGTGAACTAGCGAATGTGGTGATACTGTGATGGATGCCACGAAATAATTTCTGATTTTTTTTCCTAAACATTTACATGTATTTTTGTTGGTTTGAAGCTTAGGTGCTCCCGTGTTCCATGGAGCACATGAAATTCTCCTATATTCAGAATTGCAAGTGCTCCATAAGAATCTAAAATAGGACAGTATGGCAGGAAGGCAAACTAGAAGTGTAAAAAAAAATGAATACAATAAGTACCTGAAATAAGGCAATGACATGTTTTAGAAATGGTAGTATTTATTTCTTACAAAAAAACTGTATATGCTGTGAGCTGCATTTTGAACTTCAACATACAACTCTAAGCAAGTTACCAAGTTCTATGTGGAGGCTGCTAACTTTTAAAAACCTTACCAAAAAATTTGTATGGAATGGAATAGTTTTGATCCAACAAATAAAATTAAGGACACAACTAAAGGAACCTATACCACATTCTGTTGTTCAGGCCTCATTGGCATGGATTCACCAAGAACAGTTGATTCCTTATAACCATCTCAGATAATATATAGAAAATTGAATATCAATGAGCTACACATTTAATTTTGTGTACGGACAAAGAAAGTACCAGAATTGTATTCATGGGGCTGTAGCTGCTTCGCTCGAGCCTTATCGACTAACTCCTTCCATTTCCTCGACAAAGAATAAATGTCGAGCTGCATAAACCAACAATTAACCATTTTCATCAAGAGACGCCATCATAAACACCAATTTTAAGTATATGCAACAATTACAAGCACTGTACCTTATCAGCATCAGGAAGCACTGGCGTAATCAACCCACCATCGATGGCCACTGCCACAGCGATGTTTATGCTGCTGTTGTAAGTGAAGCTCTTCCCATCTCTGCAGCTGGAGTTTATAACCGGGTGTTGCACGAGCGCCATTGCAGTCGCCTTCGCCAACAGGGCCGACATTGTCACACCCTTCGGCTTAATCTGTCAAAACATCACTCATTTACACAACCATCCCACCACTGCATAATAGTACTAATCTAAGAGAAACAAGAATTGCAGAGGCAGTCACCTTCTTGTAGAGTGCATCCAGAGCATCGGTTGTGAAGGTGTAACCGACTCTGAACGTCGGCACGGCGAGGCTCTCCACCATGTTCTTGCTGACGGCACCCTGCATTGTCGTGAATGGCACCGTCGAACCCAGCGGCACATCGGGCCGAGCAGCCGCCACGGGCGCCGCCTTCTTTGGCGCAGCCGCCGCCGCCTCGACGTCCTTGGCCACTATCCGCCCGCCAGGGCCAGAGCCGGTAATGGAGTTGAGATCGACGTTGAGGTCCTTGGCTAGCTTCCTGGCGTACGGCGACGCGACCACGCGCAAGCCGCCTTGCGAGGCTGGGGATGGAGGCGCGGGAGCGGAGACTGCTGCTGCTACTGGCGCTGGAGGAGGTGGCGGGGGAGGGGGAGGGGTTGATTCTTGGGGAGGCGGAGGTGGTGGAGAGGAGGAGGAGGAGGAGGAGAGGGAGGCGGCCTTGGACTGGGCGGCGGGGATCTCGTCCTCGGACTCGGCGAGGAGCGCGATGGCGGAGCCGACGGGGGCGGACTCGCCGGCGGGGACGAGGACGGCGGCGAGGAAGCCGTCGTGGAAGGTCTCGACGTCCATGTCGGCCTTGTCGGACTCGACGACGACGACGGGGTCGCCCTTGGCGAGGCGGTCCCCCTCGGAGGCCGTCCACGACACGATCTTCCCCTCCGTCATGGTCGAGCTCAGCGCCGGCATGAAGATCTCCCGGATCTTCGCCTCCACGCGGAAGCACGCCCGCCGCCGCCGGCTGCTCCCTGCCGGCGCCGTGACGCCGCCGCCGCGGCGGCGGAGGAGGAGGAAGGAGGGCGCCGCGGCGGCGGTGGCGGAGGACTGGAGGTGGAGGAGGGCGGCCATTGCGAGGTCGCGCGGGGGTGGGGTGGGGCGGGGCGGAGAGGGGGAGGGAGGGGTGGTGCGCCGCGGCGCGACGCGAGGCGAGGCTTTGAGGAGTCGCGGGTGCCTCGGGAGTATCGGAGGCGGGGGGGGGGGGGGGCGGATTGGCCGAGGAGGAAGAAGATGGTGGTGGTGAGGTTTTGGGCTTGTGTTTTTAGCTTACTTTGGTCCAAAGTCCAAACCCACTGACCACTAAGCCCAATGTTTCTTCTTCAACCTTTTTCCTCTTTTCCTTCTAAGTACTCTCTCCGTTTTAGATCGTAGGACTTTCTAACATTGCTCATATTCATTTAGAAGTTAATGAATCTAGACATATATATATATATATATATGCATAGATTCATTAACATCTATATGAATATGGGCAATGCTAGAAAATCTTACATTGTGAAACGGAGGAAGTATTATTCTTTTTCATTGAGGATATTGTAAGAGTGCTAGCTTCAAGTTTGACACTCCACCCCCATAAATTATTTTGTTATAAATGCTCACCCAAATGCTCAGTTTTATTGTAAAAATCACCCCACTGCGTACGTGTTCAATTGGATCAACCCATTTATCGCTGATGTAGAGGTGCCGCATGCGTGTTAGGGTGGTCTTTACAACAAACAGAGTATGTAGGTGAGCATTTACAAAAAAAATATTGACATATAGGGTGGAATGTTAAACTTCAAGTAACTTATGAGATGGTTTCTGCAAATTTCCATTTTTCATTACACAAAAAAAAACACGAACATACACACCATGATATATACATGCTCGTAGGGTTCACGAAACCGATCGGTTTTCATGAAACCGCTTGTCATCGGTTTGTAGAAGCTAACTGGTTTTCATATTGCATTGACCGAACGTCATCGGTTTTTAGGCTATGTTCGGATATGGGAAGTTGGGAACTAAACTCCCCGCACGGAAAACGGAGTGGTACATTAGCGTGTGATTAATTAAGTATTTGCTAATTTTTTTTCAAAAATGTATCAATATGATTTTTTTAAGCAACTTTCATATAAAAACTTATTGTAAAAAGCGCACCGTTTAGTAGTTTGAAAAGCGTGCGCACGGAAAACGATGGAGAGGGGTTGGGAACATGGGATTGCAAACACAGCCTTACTGTTTTTCTTTAACCGGTTTTGAGTAAATCGGTGGGAGCGGTTTTCACTTTGAAAACGAAAAGGGTAAATCCTGCATGCCTGTGAGTAAACCTTGTTAACACATGTTCAAAGAAATGCATCCGGTAGTTAATCTCTAGCCTCACTAAATTCATGTCAAAAGTAATGGTATAGTTCATGTTGATGCAATTTTTTCTTATTTTTTGGCTGGGAGTTTCTTCAAGACCTATAATTCCTACTACTAGGAAGTGAACATACATACTGAAGTGTTGAAGTGGTTAGAGAAAGCAAGTTTCAGAAAGGTTTAAAAGCAAAACAATGGGAGCTAAATTCCTCATTGCATGTTTCACTCAAACTTAGGTCAGTGGCTCTGGCTCTAGTTCCCTTAAAAAAGAAAGATCAGTGGCTCTTTGTTAATACTGAATAACACTGGCACAAAAAAAAATACAAAACTTTGAACTGACATGCAAAAGGTATGCTAATAAGTAATAACAATTTATATATATGTTTGTTAGATAATGGATGCCAATCCGGCCTCGACATCCCACATGGATGTACACAACCAACCATTTACAAATATGATCATATAGCATAGAAGAACACAATTCCTGATTCATTCCAAAACAGATATCTGGCTTCTAAATTGTTCAGGGATATATATCATAGTCTATCTACTGTTCTACCTTAACTATGGCTCTATTTCACTACTATTGTTATATGGAATTGCCGTGTACAAGGTATGCTAATAACCATGTGTGAATATATGATGATACAGCATAGATAAACCCATTGGTCATTCATTCCAAAATAGATATCTGAATACTAAATTGATCAGCCATATCATAATCTACTACTCTACCTTGAACTATGGTGCTGGTACTATACAAGGACCCCGTATACTGATTGCTGACATCCACAAACTAAGCAAAATGATCAAACTCCATTCAGAACCTACCTAAGCTACCAAAACATATCATGCCAGATCACTTTGCGTTGAATAGCATCCTCAAGACGGTGCGCATCTTTGGTCGAGCATCTGGAGAGAGCGCAACACAAGCGAGGGCGATGTTCAGGACCGACAACATCTGGCTGTGAACAGCAGCTGAAGTTCTTGAGACCCTGGTGTCAAGGATCTGCTCCCTCTGATCAGGGCTGCCTGAAAGACTCAGAGCCCACTTGGCTAACTCGATGCCATCACTGACCGATGGTTTCCCAGTCAAAAGCTCCAGTAAGATTACTCCAAAGCTGTAAACGTTGCCAGCCATCGTCAACCTCATCGTGTATGCATACTCTGCAACATAGTTCAACAAAATTTAGCTTCAGTATAAATCTCATCTCATATAGATCTCGGAAAGCGTCAAATCATTTTGTGCTAGTGTACTGAAGGACAAGATCATAGAAGCTAGGTTTTTTATTAGATTTGTCAAAAGTAGGAGATGTGCTTATTTTGGAGGGAAATTTAACTATTTGCCACTTTTGTGACATGGCAGTTAACGATTTGCCACACCCTGTCAATGACATGTGGGCTCTCATGTGTCTATGACATGTGGGCCTAGTGGTAAATCATTAAGCAACATCCGTAAGAGTGGCAAATAGTTAAAAGCCCCTTTTTTGGATGATACTACAAATGTAGTAGACGACAACCCATGGGAAACAAAGCAAATATGTTTTCTCCAGAAATTCTGAAAACAAAACTAGCATAGGAGTGTAGACAGGATTGTGGTCAATTGAAGTATGCAGGTAATGCAAACAGAATTGCCTCAAGTAAATTACTTGAAAACATAGATATGAACTATAAATAGATCAAATCAACAGAGAACAGTAAATAACCACTATCAGCAGTTTCAGTTTAACTGCTTAAGTTGATAATTATGCACTCAAATTGAACCAGAACAGTCCATTACCTGGTGGAATATAACCAACTGTACCAGCAATGGTCGAAAGGCTCCCACTGCTCTTCAAAGTATCAACAATTTTGTAAAGTTCAACATCTCCAATCTGAGGCTCATTCATTGACTTCAAGTGGACAGTCCTTGTTGACAGATCAAGAAGCAGAACTGGCTGAGTGCACCCATGAAGAAATGTCAGCCCTTGGGCTAGCCCAAAAGCTATGCTATACCGTGAAGGCCAGTCCAGAACATCTGATCTTCCAGCATGAAGGAAATCGAACACCGTGCCCTTGTGCACATGCTCATAGATGATGTATGCATTGTCTTCTGTCAACACATAAGCCAATGGCACCATTACATTGGAATTGCTCAACTTCCCAAGTACCTCAAGTTCATGAGCAACCTTCCCTTGGCTCCCAATTTGGAATATCTTGTCACTACAATTAATCTGTTTTAAAGAATAGGTTGAGCCATTAGGCATCACAGCCTTATAGTAAGTGCAGAACCTTGTTTTCAGAAAAATGTTGCTGTGATTGGAGACTGCTTCCATTGCTTTCACGAAATCAATTGCAGAGGTATGGATACTATTCATAGTTATGAGGTGACCATTGATGATTCGAGCAACATCCTCAGTTGATGGTCCTTCATCTTCAACACGATAAATTCTCTTAGAATATGAAATTGTAACAATAGCAGCAAGCAAGCACAATCCAACAAGAGCACCAGTAATGGCAACGACGATGATGACTGTATTGTGTGTCCTTCTCTTACCACTTGTAGGGGCGTTGTCATAATTTCTTGTACCATTTGTAAGATCGGGATTTCCATTGGTAGCAATATCAACATGTTGACGAAATATAGGAATGGACCCAGAAAGGTGATTATAAGAAAGCACTAGTTGCGTCAAGCTTTCTAGCTTTGCAAGTGAGGCCGGCACCTCACCATACAAGTTGTTGTATGAAAGATCAAGAATCTCTAGATCACTCAATAAGTCAATATTTGAAGGAATAGATCCGCTGAGATTGTTGTGGCTTAGATTAAGAACAGTACTCAATTTGGTCGGCATTGTTGGGATGGTACCAGTCAAGATATTATTCCCCAGATTGAGCTCAATTAGAGAAGTTAATAAATGGAGTGAATCTGGAATGGTGCCGCTGATCTTGTTGCATTGCAAATTCAAAATGGAAAGCTTTGGCAGCTTGCCGATTTCTCTTGGTATCCCTCCAGTGAATGAATTACCACTAAGATTCAATGTGATCAGGCTTGTCAAATTAGAAAATACACTTGGGATAGGTCCATCCAGATTGTTCATTTGGAGTTTAAGAACTACCAGTTTGTCAAGGCTGCTGATTGCATCAGGCACTGGACCCTGAAACTTATTTGATGCCAGATTCAGCAAAGACAAACTCTTGCATCTGCCAAGTTCCAATGGTATGCTTCCCGTCAACTGATTGCTATCCAGCTCAAGATAAGCCAAGGTCGATGCATCACCAATGGTGGCCGGGATGGTTCCATTGAGAGAGTTGCCTCCACCAAGCCTCAACCGATAGAGGGTCGGAGACAAGCTGCTAGGGATGGGCCCTTCGAGCTTATTGTGAGTGAGATCAACAGTCCACAGTCCCACAGGACTAAGAATATCAGAGGGAATCACTCCACTAAGTTCGTTGTAACTCAGATCCAGCATCTTCACATTCTTGGTGATACCACTAGGGATGAAACCGGTAAAATTGTTCTGATTAGCTGCAAACCGAGCAAGGCTTGCAACATTTGACACACTCACAGGTATATTGCCACTCAGTTGATTACCTGATAAGAGCAAAGTCTTGAGCTTGGGTAACTTTAAGAACTCATCCGGTACATCACCATTTAGATTGTTCTGACTAAGATCCAGCATAGTAAGATTTTGGTAATTGAACAAAGCTATTGGAATGCTACCACTGAAATTGTTGATGGACAACACCAATTCCTCCAAAGACGGGGTCATGCTTGTAGGAACATCACCAGCCAAGTTATTGCTACTAAGATTCAAGCTTCTCAGCTTGAGCAAAGAACTCAACTGGGTTCTGACATCACCACTGAAAGAATTGAAGGACAAGTCAAGAACCTCAAGAAGGGGAAAACCAGAGAAATTACTAAGAGGCATGGATAGCTGGCTGCTGCTGAGATTAAGTGACCGCAATCCAGCCTTCATGGAGCAAGAAGAGGTGAAGAATTGCTCTATCGAATTGGTGAAGGAATTCTTAGAGAGATCAAGGATTTGCAAGGTGTCAAGAGAGCATATGGTTGCAAATATGGTGGAGTTGGACAAACCATACCCAGACAAAGTAAGGTTGGTCACAACTGATATGGAATTGGAGCTAGAAGAGCAACTCACTCCATCCCATCGGCATGGATTCGAATCGCTCGTGTTCCACTTGGCACTGGCAGTAACCAAGCCAGAAAGCTCCTTCATGATCGATACCTGAGTCGTATTTAGCGGTGCCGGCGCCGACGCGGCAGTGGCGACCATGGACGAATCAAGAAACAAGAACAAGAAGAGGAGAACTTGTACCAGCAGCAGCAAGAAGCCATTGTTGCGACAGTAACAAGGCCTCCTCTCCGCCATGGCCACCTGTTCTTGGCCTCCCATTGATTCCTGTATCTCCTTCCCTTAATCCCCTCCCTTTCCTCCCTGATGAACTTCACTGCAGGCTCAACCACCACCCAAGAAAATCGATTTTTTCCTCTCTTTCCCTAGGTTTTGGGGCTCTCGGTGTTCTTGGCCATGGCTCTCTTCTCTCCTCTTCTTGCTCCTCCCAGACTCCCAGTGCTTCGGCGTTGGGAGTCCAGTCTTTTAGAGAGAAGGAAAGGAGGATTTTTTTTTTCTCTCGCACACATACACCTCTTGGGGTCCAGGGTTGACTGACTGAAACGTATATCTTGTGTGAGTGACCAAAACCTGTGAGAGAGGGGAGCTGAAAACACTGAAGAAAGCAGGTTGAGAACAGTGATGATGAGAACCTGCATTTAGGCTGAGTTTTAGGGAAACTTTGGCAGCTTTGAAGAATGGTCTTTCTGTTACCATTCAAACAACAAAAGAATGGTCTTTATGTTACTATTCCAAAGAAAAAAAATGATCTTTTCTGTTGGTAATTTCTCAGTTATATCCATGGATGCCAATTTTTCATATATGCAAACTGACTGGAATATACTTGCTGTCCAATTTGTTTTTGGTGATTTAGGAGTATTTAAAATCAACTTAAAAAAACACAGTAATGTTCAGGAAAAAAGATAATGGTACATGAAATTATAAATAGTCTTTTTGAGTATTTGAACTGCCTCTGGAACAAGTTCTTGCTTCTGAGTACCTTTTCAAAAGAAAAGCTTAGCATTTTTATTAAGAGGCAACTAGCCTTCGCTTTATTAGTGTACCAAGAGAATCCTATGCCGTTGAGCAATGTGAGGGCACCATTCAACATCTGCAAAGCTGTTTCACTAAAACTACTAGTAGATTAGTTAGTATCCAGAAACACATTGCATCTTGCAGAATAGTATACTAGTAATACACTAATACTACAATCTAAAAACTGTCACTTTCAATTTCAGCTAATTATTCTGAAGTAACACATGCCATTCTCTATTACTAATGCAGACATGTCATTCTCTGAAATTAATGCAGACGAAATAGAGGATCCCTCCCAGACCATCAAACTGAGACTTGAAAAATAAATGTATTAATTACCATTTGTAGATGCCGGGTCAAAGAAGCTGGAGCTCACCAGCTACACCAAAACCATCTGTAAATTCTTACCTTTTCCCTGAAGAAGAAAAGCTTCTACAAATTCTGAAAAGGACTAGCTAGTGCTAGCCAAAATTATGATCAACAGATTCAAGTAGGAAAGGTAATCGAGATTGTTGAAATGTGCCAAAGTGATTAAAGTTAGTCTACGTAACAATCGTGGGGCCTTTGCCCGGGAAAAGGACGACGTGTTGGAAATGACAGAGGAGCTTGACCAAACGAAGGCTTTGGCTTATCTAGCTTTACCTCAAACACATACAGGCAGGGAGAGAAATAGTTAGGAGCATACAAGCCCATGTAGAATGAAATTGTCTTCAAGTGTACTGGTTGATCAAACAGAAGATTAAAGGAATTCACAGGTTCAGAAATTTCATCCAAGTGGGCTTTTCACCAGATATGCGGATAGAAGTTTTTGGTGTGGTGTGTTTCAGAATAATAATTCTTGATTCACTAGATTAACAAAGATTGATATTTCATACTATTCCACAATTAAATTGTACATTCGAATTGCTGTAAGTCATCACGAACGCCTTGGTATTCTATTTGACTCCATACAACTGAGGATATATGTATTTGAATAATCAAGCATTGTTTTCTTATTTGATTTAATATATATACAATTGAAGAGATGTGCAAACTTTATATAATTTCCTTCAAATTTCACATTATTATATACAATTGAAGAGAAGTGCGAATTTTACATAATTTCCATCAAATTTTACATTTTCATTTTCTAAAGAAAAAATAAGAAAAAAAATCATGTGTTCCAAATAAACCATGAATGGAAAATTTTCAAATGTTTCATGTGGACGCTTTAGCCGTCCATTACCAACACCCCTGAATCAAAAGAATGTAAAACAAATAAAAGCTGTGCTTAGTGTGGAATTTGGAGGTTAGGAAAGTGGAAGGTTGGAATTGGGAGTGAATGATCACATCTCATCCTATGCTGTTCCTTTCATCTCATCTGGCCTACCCCACACACTTGACGAGGAGACTTTGAATGGACTTCAGCTCACCTCCATTTGCCTCTCACTCGTTCCAAGATCTATTTCTTCTGTCCATACCTGTGTTCTGAAGTTTACCTGCAGCTTCTCATTCAGGTCCTGGAGCCCTCTCTGGGTTGCATCTGCATCAGTTTCAGACTTGGACTGGTCCATTGTGTTTGCTTGCACCAAGAGTTCAGTCCAATACTTTTACACCTATTTGCTGCAGAATTAATTCTTCTGAAATTTTGACCTTTTCTTAGATGGATTAAATTTTAGAGGTTACTGCATCAAAGCTAACATGGTCTCCAGTGTGCAATAGACCATAAAGTAGTTTGCAGCTGAATGTGAATGTTACTGAATGCAAAGGATTGGTCCAACATCATCATATACTGGTAGAAAACAAGGAAGATGATCGTACCAAGACCCTGTTTAGATAGGACTAAAACTTTTAAGTCCCTATCACATCGAATGTTTGGATATTAGTTATAAATATTAAATATAGACTATTAATAAAAACCCATCCATAATCTTGGACTAATTTGCGAGATGAATCTATTGAGCCTAATTAATCCATGATTAGCCTATGTGATGCTACAGTAAACATTATCTAATTATAGATTAATTAGGCTTAAAAAATTTGTCTCGCGAATTAGCTTTCATTTATGTAATTAGTTTTGTAAGTAGTCTATATTTAATACTCTAAATTAGTGTCTAAAGACAGGGACTAAAGTTAAGTCCCTGGATCCAAACACCACCCAAGTAGGCAAGGAATAAAGCTAAAGGGAAAAAAAAGAAGGCAAAGGTACCAATTTGTCTTTGTTTTTGCGTCAGAGACAGGCCGTGTTTGAAGGAGAGGAGACGGAGAAAAAGTCATCTTTTGTACTCCATGTAGACTCTCTCTCTCTCTCTCAAGTCTCATCAGGCTACAATATTATCCTAACTTCCGCACTCCAGCTAGCTAGATTGGTGTTTTGGGTCTCGATAAGCATTTGTCAAACTCAAACCCTCAAGCAATCACCTTTGGATTATAGTTCAAGCACAACATTAGTATTATTTAAGTTTGTTGATTAATCTTTCACTCCTAAGTGGCTATGGCTCCACTCCAGGTATGATCTGAATGCTAAAACAGTGACAACAACCAAGCTTGTTGTCCAGGTGCAATGCACTGTGGCAAAAGCCTAGCAGAAAAGGACCTTGTGAATAATTTAGCTATAATCTCGATGAGCTCACCCTGTTCGAGCTCTGTGAAAGAGTATTAATATAATAACTTTTCTCAAAGCAAGCAGAGCAGTGCTGATTACATGCTTCTATTTATAAGTACATGTAGTAGTACTGAAACAAGAACGTTTTCTGTCTCTCTTGCAGGACTTTAGCTAGATGGCATCATCACGGAAGCTTGCCGAATTAAGATTTCTTAATTTGCTAGTGTGATTAGCTAATCCACTGGTTTGGAGCTAAGTGTAAGTGTTTTTAAATTGCAGTGACGAATGGTTAGATGAATGCCCACGATATACGAATTTCATATTGTCAGTATTGAACAGTGGATGCACATGAGTAAAAAATACTGAGAAATTTGTCAGAGTAAACACAACAATTTGAAAAGATTATATAATTATATTGATGGGTGTCAGTTTATCTGAGTCATGATCCTTATAAAAACGAATATCCAGGCAACTAACTCAGTAACTGAATTGTCTTAAATTGGTCATTTTCTGCAGTTGATTGATCTTTATTTGCCTTTTCTAGTTACAGTGTACAGATGAACTGATCGGACACTTACTACTAACCGATCAAAATAATTTCAGTTTTAGACTCAGCCAATGCAATATGAAAACGCGAATTACAGCCGATTTGCATTCCCATGTGATTCAGACTAAGACTATTTTTATAGTAACTATGAAATTCCGTCCAGCCCTTCTTGAATTCAGATTTCAGAATCAAACAAGGGTAATAAAGAAACCTAGGAACCAACAATGGTGGCAAGGGATCGAAATATCGAATTGACTAACCTCCTCGAAGAAACTGCAAGCCTGCAACTCCTCCAAACTTGATACGTGCTCCTACACTGCATCCGCCGTGGGGGGCTGGGGGCCGCCGGAGTTCGTCGCCTCAGCCTCGAATCTGCCGCGTGCTAACCGCCACCGCCGCCGCGGCGACGGCGACGGCGAGCTCCCGGCCGCCCTCGAGTCCGCCAGTACAAAGAGGAAGAGGGGAAGACGAGGCAGGAGTGAAATGGGCCATGAATTTTGGGCCCGGAAAGGTTGCGGCCCATATGTAGTGGCGTAAGTGCGGCCCAGGCCATACATAGTGGGCCAAAACTATACAGCGGCTTACGAGCGGCCACACTGTATATTGGGCCGGAAAAGGTAGTGCAGAGTACGTGCGGCCCATAAATGTTGGCCCGGATCGGGTCGTAACGTTCGGCCCATAAATGTTGGGGCCGGAATTGGGCTACGTCGAACGTGCATTCTGGGCCGAAAAGGCCCAGCCAGTTTTTCTCTGTCACAGTTCTTCGCCAACGATTTGGTTGGTTGATTACCAGTTGGATGGATTTGTCTGTCTGATTTGGTTGGTGTTATCTCTTACTCTCTCCTGTTTCATAATTTGTTATACTTTAAACAATGATACAATATCCAAAATATATTTTGACCATATTTTTTCTATTATATAATAAATATATATTATATTATCTCCGTTTCAGGTTATATATATATATATATATATATATATATACACCTAGATTCATTAACATTTATATAAATGTGGATAATGCTAGAAAGTCTTATAATATGAAACAGAGGAAGTAGGACATGAAATAAATCTATAGATGTTGCCTTTACACTAAATATTTTTAATATTATTAATAACCGTGTCAAGAATTATAAAACAGAAAGAGTATCTGACACTAGTACGTACTAGTACTGTAATCTGCAGAGGAAGCTCTATAGATTGATCAGACAACCTCTGCGCAAAGTTGATTTACAGAAAGATCAGATCGAGACAGCTCTCTAGCTTCAGACAAATGCAAGAAACGATATATGCTCAGTTGCTCGCTCAACTCAAGAGCCAACACATTTTGAACTTCTAAACACTAAGCTCCGAAAGAGAAAAAAACACTGCACCTAACAAACAGCCAGACGAAGCACAACGGTACTGAAATCTCGCTTTCAACGGAGTACGTTGAGCCAAACCAGCCAACAGCAAGTCCACTACATGTGTTACTATAGTACTCCAGTAGTTGACAAGGACTAGATTAAGTTTCATATTGCTTATTTAAAACACTTTCCTTTTTTTTGTCTGTCGATTTCATTCTGTCACATCGAATGTTTGGACACATACATGAAATATTAAATATAGAAAAAATTAATTACATAGATTTGGTGTAAATTGCAAAATGAATCTTTTAAGTTTAATTGCTTTATGATTTGACAATATTGTGCTACAGTAAACATTTACTAATGACAGATTAGTTAGGCTTAATAAATTTGTCTCGCAGTTTACAGACGAAATCTGTAATTTGTTTTGTTATTAGTCTACGTTTAATACTTTAAATGTGTGTCCGTATATCCGATGTGAGACGTAAAAACTTTTCACCCCTTAACTAAATTTGAGTATATGGTAGTTTCACATTGACATTTTTGAATAGTCTGGACCAACGGCTAACAGGTGGCAACCCCCAGCACTGAAAGCTACTGCCACCTCATATGCTGACAAGGCCACTGCAGCCGTCTTTACTCTTTCTTTTGCAAAAAAAAAGTAGAGGAAGAAAGGGAGAGATGAGTTCTTGAATTTGCAAGCAACATTTTTCAGAAACTGTTCTTTAGCAGAAAGGCACAGGCTGCAAAAGCACTGCCTGTCTGCTGCTTGATGCTTCTATGCTCTTCCATCCTCCCTCCAAAACCATTCAAAACAACTCACAGCTTGACTTTGCTTTTGAATATAATCACCATACAAAACATTACAACAGCTAATCAATTGTTTACATTTGCCTTGCTGAATGCTACTACTGATTGATTGGTTCAGAATTGCATCTTTATATTCCTTAACACCAGAAGTTACACCTTAAACTATTAAGGCTATCTCTTTCTAGAACATTAAACTATTGGGCTCTGTTATGTCTGAACTGGACACTGTTTAGGAGGTCATTCCATTTGATATGGGAGTAAGCTTTAGCCCTTGGACTTTAGCTGTATATAATGACCTTTTAATTAAACATTAATAATGTTATTAGGTCCTGCCTCTTAGTGCTTTCCTGCTTGGCATCTCTCTGATGGACCAATCTAATCACCCAAAGCATCTTACCAACCACCACAAATATTGTTGTATAATAATACTTCCATTTGCCAACCATCACTTGAGCTTGGGAGCTTAAGAAAACCATATCACCTTCTCTCTCTTCCTCCTCTCCCTTTCTCTCTCTAGCCATTTCTTGAGGTAGAAAAAAGAAGACAGATAGAGGCTTCCATTTGATAGTTCAGACTTTAGAGTTCAGAGTAGAGAGAGAGAGAGAGCAATGCAAGGTTTCAGCTTTGCGGCCATGGAGGAGTTCACGTTCCCCAGCGTCGCACCGGAGCGATGCAACGCCGGCAAGAAGCCGCCTTTCTCCCCTCACTTCGCCACCCCGCCGCCGTGGTTTGGCGGCGGCGTTGTCGTCGACGCGGTGGTGTACGATCACCGGAGGAGCTTCTCGGCCGTCGAGAAGGGGGAGGAAGAAGGCACGGTGAGAGGCGGCTGGTACTATTGCTACGACGACGGCGGCTGCGGCAATGTCTCGGCGAGGTTCGCCGGCGGCGAGGAGACCAAGACGATGGACATGCTGTGGGAGGACTTCAACGAGGAGCTCTCCCGGGCGGCGGCGGCGGCGCCGTGCCCGCTGAGCAAGGAGTGGACCAAGGAGGCGTGGCTCGCCGGCGACGGCACCCCCGAAATGCGCCGCCATGCCGCCGCGGCGGCGGCGGTGGCCTCCGGCAGCGTGGTCCGGCGGAGGCGGCTGAGCTTGCTGATGATGCTGAAGCTGCTCAAAAAGCTCTTCTTGGCTCACAAATCCAATGCTGCATCAAGAAAGGCACCACCAATCTGAAAATTCTGATTGACAGTCAGAAGAAGCAGTAGATGATTGCATGCATGATATACCAGGTGTATATATCGATCGATCTATACATTTTTCATCCTACCAGAATCCAGAGTTTGACTCATAGTTAATGGCTATGATTCTTTTCTTTTTTCTTCTTCTTCTTCTCTACTTTTGATTTTCTGATGAATGTTCAGGCCTTCAGGGTTTTGTCTCTTTTGTTTGTCTGATGAATGTTCAGGGTCTGATACTCTCTGATCCCGCTCGTCTTTTTTGTAATGCCATTGGATTTGGCGTCTGTTTGATACTACTTGATTTTAGCTGCCGAAGAACATACTGAAATGAAGGAACCCATTGGGTTTCTTGTCTGAATCTTTTGTTGATTCTCAGGACTACGCATGATGATCTAGTTCATTGTGCCTCTTTTGTTGATTCTTTCGGGTAAAACTGCCATGTCAACTTCAAAGATGCAGCGTTGGAACCACAAGTTATTCTGTCAATGGTAAGCAAGACACTTACTTCATCGACCACCACTCCGGCGAATACTGGTCCTAAAGCTTAAAGTTCACACATAAATGCATGATTGCACACTACAAGTTACAGAAATCATGGCAAAATTGATGATCAAAGTGGCCAATCCATATTAAAGAAAATTGGCATGTTTAAATGGGTTATCATAATCACATAGTTGAAATGCATTCATGACTTCACTTGAAAACTACATCTATTACTAAAGGAGGCTTTTGATTTTGGAAAGGCAAGGTAAAAAAATCTTGGTGCTTACTTTAGTTCTAGCTTTCCTCGAGTAAAAGAAGTTCAGACAACTTTAAAGAAATAAAAGTATAAAACACACTTTCCCTCCTTCAGTAAATTTACTTGACCCCGTTGAATGCACCGTGCAAACTTTAAAACCTCACATTGCTCGTCAGACTTAACAACGGTAAACATCAACAGTATCATTTCAAACTATGATAAAACAATAGTCGTCAAAATGTGTTTAATGCAATCGATTTGGTCAAGTAAAAGTGAACAAAAGAGGGGATAACTTTAGCTTTCAGCCGTTTAGATGTCGCTAATTTGTTGTAAAAGAAAAAAGAAGCAGCTTTAACGAATAAGATCTTTATTGTTACAGGTGATAGTCTGAATATGCATACATGGCCCTCTTGTGCATATATAATGCTTGACTACATTATCACTGTGGCATCTATCCAAGATTAGCAGCAAATTAAGGAACGGCCATGTGAAGACATACCAACAAACTGGTTGGTCCCAAGTAGACAGCAAGAATTAGTTGTTGTACAGAATGTAGTGTACATGTCAGCTTGATGTCATTGCATACCAATCTGCACTCACTTGGTAGGTAGCATCACAAAAGATAAAAGAGCACACTTTCAGAAGATATGGTTGTTGGTTATGCAATACACAGTAGATAACATGGCAGAATACTTCAATCCCTCAACTAGAGTACTTACAAATGACCTGAAACTAGCCATAAATGCTAAGCAATGGGATTGTGACTTCACAAGTTCATATAATTTCACAGATTATCTTCTTGACAGCATACCTAACAATCTTAACAGTTATCTAACAAAAACAATCTTAACAGGATAATTTTTTGAGATGATTGAAAGGCAGGTCGAGAAAAAAACTAACTGTTTTATTTTAAACCTTCTTTATGTATGATGTTCGCCTAAACTTAACTTTATTACTGTAGAAGATATTGTAAGGATAAAAAACAGCGCACTGAAAAAACTTACACCATCATAATGTGCATTAATGAAATTCCAGGTGAACACTTATTATACTTTGAAGGGAACATGAGATCACATGTCTACAAGAGCATGTAGTATGAAGGGCACCACATATACAAGGAATTAGGGGTACTGGTATCTATCTTAAAGTAGCGTCTATCTGTTGACCGATTAAGCACAAAACAACTCAGCCATAAGAACACCATTCATCTTCTTCAGGCTGAGGACGGGTTTGTTACTTCCCCCTGAGTCATCTGGTATGTTGGAAAAAAATAATAATTCAGCTAATCAAACAGAGGAGCATGTGACTCTCATCATAATAGAATCAAATGGAACTCAATAGATAGGTTCAGGTAAAAAGGACACAATAAAAAAGCTAAATGGAAGTATAGTCTGTACTGTACCATGATGCATAAGAAACTCGGTTATCACTCTCAATCCTAAGCAAACCTAAAAGAACCTGTAAAAGAAAATTATCTGTCAACTAAAATACAATTGCACTCAATATATAAATGGCAAAAATAACTATATGGGTAACGAAAATTAGCACAGCGTTTTGTATAGAGCAGTTAGTGGAGTGTATGGCATGGTTGAGATAATGCTTGTCCAGTATCAAAAGAAAAGTCAATGCTAGTATGAGGTTGATCTGCCTTCCCAATCTGACCAAGTGGAACCAACTACAGTTTATAAAAACAATATGGTAAGAACAGAAATAAAGCATACTTTTATTTGACAGCTGCAGAGAAACATGTCTGTATTGTTTCATCACTTGGAAATGTTTTTCAATAATCCAGTCAAAGAACCGCAGTGTGTTGATTTGTACTCGCACTGCTCACAGCAGGATTGAAGTAATTGGATAACTCTCACACATCTGGGAAAGAAACAAGCATAAATAACAAGCTGAGTCATATATATCCCATTAACTTACACAGTAAGGTGATTCTAAAATCATACACACAATATTACCTTGCAGCACCGTTTAAATGTTCAATCATACTAACTCCAATCAACTTTAGACAATAAAAACAGTAAATAGTTCATTGCTATTGTTCTAGGTTCCTAGCAACGGATTAATGTTTGGTATAGTATAGCAAAATGGTAAAAAGCCAAAGGTTCCAGTTGTATGGTCATAAACAATGACAAAAACCCAATGCTTTATCCATATATGTAGTGAACACGATAATGAAAGGAATCACACCACAATAAAAATTAAAGCAGGGGAAATTATGATAAATTGATGCTAATGTACTCTTTGTACATATCAATCAACAGCATGTGTAATATGTGTATTAAAATATAACAGCAAGGTCCAATAGAGGAAACACAAGATTTTAACATCCATCCTAGACTAGAAATTTCTTTATGACAGATAGATGCTATTAGCATCCAAGATTGCTAGTCATGAATAACTAACGGTGAATTTCACAGACAATTCTAATGTATTTCAATCCAATAAACAATATTATGGAATTCACATCCGTGAACAGTAAACAGGAGAAAAGCCCCGATTCATGCTCAAATTGCGACAGATTAGCAGTTTAAGATTGAAAGGCTAGCCCATCCGGGCACCTATGAAACTGACTAACAGAGTAACAGTAACTCATTTCCTGAAGGCACACAGGGCCACATGCTGGATATATTCAGAAATAATACTGTATCATCTTGCTGGATATATTCAGAATAACAGAAACTTATCGCATGATTGAACAAGCGGACCAACTAAATCAGCTTGCTTCACCAAACACCTGGAAGCAAGCATCATCTTGCTGCCACGACCACCACCCATAAGCATCACCCACAACTTCCCCAACAACAAAGCCCAACTCCTGCGCCCTGACACTGTCCTGGCAGCTGGTAAATACTAGGAATCCATAAACCTAACATTAGATCGAGATAGCCACTAAGCCCTAATCCGATGATTCCCCATGCCTCTTCCAGTCCCCCACAAAACCTAGTCAATGCGTCGGCAACCCACCTAAATATCCCAAGACCTCATCAAATTCCTTACAGCCGCATCCAAGAAATCGAGAGGTATCCAACAATATCGCATTGCAATCATCAGAATGGACTAAAAGAACTAAAAAGAAGAAAAGCTTGGAGATGGAGGACACTGCCGCGTACGTACTTCTTGGAATCGAACATGTTCTTGGAGAGGCAGGCCTGGATGTCGCACGCCTCCTTCTTGCACGGCTCCTTGCTCTGCTGCGCCATCTCCTCCTCCTCCCGCCGCCGCCGCCGCCGCCGCTCGGATCAAAGTTGCGTCTCGGAGTTGACACGCACGCGGCGAGCCAACAAGAAGAGGACGCCCATGGCGGCGTCGGCTTCTTTCCTTCTAGAAGAGGAGGGATTCGTCGCAAACGGGCCGGATGATTCGGCCCATTTCTCCAATCGGTCCATATGGGCCGCAGTGGGCTTGGGATGACCGATCCGGCCCAATGTAGTGGCTGCTCATTTGGAGAATTTTGCGCCTCTCAAAAAAAAAAGGGAAAAAATGCCGTTGTTTTCGCTAGAAAAGAACACGAGAAGATAGCGAAAGCTTGGGGGTGAAATCCTGTGGTGTTTCATGGACCAAGCTACTCGTTGAAGAGATAATTTCCCTTGTTTTGTATTTTCTTTTTCCGATTAAGAGGAAAGAACCAAGCAAAGAGGTGGTAGAGGAGAGGGGATTCAGTGAGGAAGGGAGAGAGAGATAGATCCCTGGAGGTTTGCAGGAGGGGATGGAACAGCTGTGGGTGCCATCGCTTCCGATTCTTGGAGGTAGGTGAAACTACCTCGTTCTTGGGTACATCACTTGCCGATTCATATTTCTTGAGCTGCCAATGGTGTCTTTATTAGATTTCAGCCGTGTCCACCATCTGTTTGTGGAAATGCCTAGGTGCACTGAATGACTTCTTTTTTCCTTCTTTATTTGAACAATCGACTAATCCAAGTTAATCAGTACGGTATGCATGGATATAGGTCAGGGACGTACATGCACATTTACTGAATTGCTCGAACGAAAGAAATCGCCAACTGCCAAGGTGGTATGTGTGTATCTACTTGAGAGATGCCTTGGTTTCGTTTTGTGGCATCGTAATTCGTCACTTTGTTTGCAGTCAGCATTCCACTTGCTTATGATTAGTCCCACACTCATATAAACTAGATTCCAGTGGGTTATGTTGTTTGATTAGTCTTTTGGGCCAAACATATTACAGTAAACAAATGGTTTGAACAATATCTTGTTTTTTTAGATAAGACAAGATATGGCTTATTTCCCACAAACGTGAAATTTGAGGTTGAAATTACACTCAAACTTAGGTGGTGGATTCACAATCTTATGTCGTCGCTATTGCAGCCTAAAAGAGTTCTCATGCTTTATTGCTCTGATTGCATAAGTTGCTTATTGACATTTTACTTGCAAAAGTGATTTGAGTATGTCCTTGGCTACCACTATAATGATTCTGTCCTTTTAGTTTCATTTAATTTTCCTTAATGAGCACGGACCATTTTAATAATAGAACAAATGCCATTTTGTCAGTATTTCTGAATTGGTTTCCTTCTCAATCTACTATTTTTGACATAACATAATTGTTGCAGAAAGTCCTTTTTTCTTGTTTCAGGGTATAATATTTTTGTTCCACTTAGTTTAGGTATTTTACTGCTCTATGCTCATGTGTTACTGATTTATCTAATCTGCTTTTACTCAATAAATGCAGTAGGTATAATTTGTGTTTAACATATTTTGGGCACTGACTCTTTTTATTTTAGGAAGGATATTGCCTATGCTCAGGCACTACTGTGGCTTTGGAAGTCATCATCCCTTAACCTGGAGAAGCTTACAAATTACTGGAAGAAAACAGAAGCATAATGGGTGTTGGATTGCATACTGCTTACCAAGCCATAATGGAACTTCTATTTCAGACACAAATGGTGTTCGAAAAGACTTAGCTTTGCCTGACAATTTGCTTCGTGATGCTCATATTCTCTATTGTACATCTCCTGCCATGGGTCATAACAAGGTAAGCTCATTTCAATGCTTTAATTTAGAGCAGCTTTCAGATATGGTTTTCAAGTGTGATGAGCTTCTCTGCATTCAGCAACTTAAGCATCCAAACTTCACTTAAATGTTTATAACTGATAACTTAGTACTGATTAGAAAGTGCATCCTATATAATTGTTACTGTCTTACAACTGTAATTTCTCTGCATTCTTTATTTTTAGTGTAGACTACATTCCGTTACCATCTTACTGTATAATTATATGCTTTTGTGTGCAAAATACTAGGCTTGAAAGAGAAAGTGCTCCGCAAAGTCATGATATGCTAAGATGCCTCATCTAATCAATATCACTATTGTGCTATTATCCACTGGTATGCAGGAAGCGCATCCAGAAACTAACAAAAGAGTTCCTGCAATAGTTGATGCTCTCGAAAAACTGGAGCTTACTTCGAAGGTATATATAAGTAAAATAACACTGCCCTTTCGTAAGTTTTAAAATGTTCTATATAACTGAGGCCTTACTGTCTGTACCTTCTAAAATGACTGCACATCAGTTAAGAAAACATGTTCTTTCATTCTAGGCTGAAGCGTACAGAACTACCAATAGATAAACATATTAAAAAAAAGGACAAAAGAAATGCTTTCTGTTTCTCTTGAATTGGACATTCAAAATGTTCACATATGAAAAATAAGTGTTTTACTCCGTGCTTAGATAACATCTTATTTGTTTTGTGTCCAGCATCGTGGTTCACAGGTTCTTGAAATTCAAGATTTCCAACCTGCTTCACTTGATGATATTGCACTAGTTCATTCAAGATCATACATAACTGGACTTGAAAAGGTATTTTCATCACAGTGGTATTATTTTTGGTATTGACATGTTTTGGATAGAACAGAATGGAGCAGCTGCTTCTTATCTACGTTACCTTTTCTCTACTGATAAAAGGATTGAAATATTTTTCTTCGAAAAATGCACCACTCAGATTTTTGGATTATGCAGCTGTTCTTTACATAATATTTGGTTGAACGGTTTGTTTAGAGTGGTCATTTTTGCAGGCTATGAGTAGGGCTTCAGATGAAGGTTTGATATTCATTGAAGGAACTGGACCTACATATGCTACCCAGACTGTAATGATCTATGCACATTCCCTCTTGTTTTTATTCCCCCAATGCTTTTCTCGTTGGAAGGTTATTGAGTACAGTCTTCTGCGCATTATTATTTCATCGATGCACTTGCCAGTCTGTCAGCAGCTATATCATTAAATCTTCTATTTCTAGTTTTCTACCATTCATATGTTGATCAATGGGCCTGGACTGACTAGTTACTGCACTAATTTCATTTGTATCAAATCAAGTAAAACCCCAGAAAGCCCTTTATAAAATGGAATAAAATTCATTCCTCAAATTATTCAGGGACTCATGAGATGAATGGCAAAAACAATTAGTTCAAGTGGTTCATCCAATTTTATAGGAACAGCTGCAGGGCTTCTACACTTGGCAACTCAGTTATTCTAATACCTTCTACTGCAGGCTAAAACTCACATTAGGGCAAACCATAGTTCATATTGTGTACCAGATAACCAGATCTCTTTATAACAAAATACTTCCACCATATGTGTATTTGGATTACTACTCAAGAATGCTTCCATCTTTACTTCTTTTGTCGATGGAAAATACTAGAACTCGAATTATGAGAGTTTACATATCGCCTCTCTTTAAATAATTTATTTTTCTTCACAGACTTTCCAAGAATGTCTCCTTTCTGCTGGTGCTGGAATTACATTGGTTGATTCAGTGGTAACGAGTTTTTTCTCAGTTGATGTTTTATCTTCTTTACTTTTCTTGCTTGTATTTTATGGTTCAGTATATTTTCCTTTGCAGTGCCCATTTCCCGAGAAATGTTCTATGTTTTCCTAGGTTGCAGCATCAAAGTTGGGCCCGAAGCCACCGCTCGGCTTTGCCTTAGTAAGGCCACCAGGACATCATGCTGTTCCTGAAGGTCCCATGGGCTTCTGTGTCTTTGGGAACATTGCAGTGGCAGCTCGGTATGCTCAGAATCAACATGGTTTAAAGCGGGTCATGATAATAGATTTTGATGTTCACCACGGTAACGGCACATGTGACGCCTTTTATGAGGATCCGGACATATTCTTCCTCTCAACTCATCAGGTTTGTTACCTCATCTTTAAAACTTGTCACCTTACAAATCTAGTGCAGGAAAAATAATCTGGGCTTGCAACAACATTACAATGAATTGGTGTATGTAGCTTGGAAGCTATCCTGGCACCGGTAAGATCCACCAAGTTGGCCAGGGCAACGGCGAGGGCACGACGCTCAACCTGCCACTACCCGGTGGCTCAGGCGATTACGCGATGAGGTGCGCGTTTGATGAGGTTATTGCCCCAGCTGCCCAGCGGTTCAAACCTGACATCATCCTCGTTTCAGCCGGGTAGGTTCATTCCTCCCACATTTCATCTTTCAGAATAGAACCATGCTGAAACAGGTTCACATGATCCTGAATGAATTTTTGTACATAGCTTCTGAATCTTAATGCTGCCAATTATTTCACCAAGCCGAAAAGAACCAAAGATCCTGAATCAAAAAACCATACCGAAAAGATATCGACATGATCCCGAATGAATTTCTGTGCATAGCTTCTGAATCTTGACGCCTCCAAATCACCAATCCTAACAGAACCACGCTAAACATGCTGAAATAAGTTGACATGATCCTGCATTGTTTGTGCATAGAAACACATCACCTGAATCTTGATGCTGCCAAACAATTCACCAAGCTATAGAAGCAGAAAAGAAGTGATTACTAACATCCATCATGTTGTTTTTGCAGGTACGACGCGCACGCGCTGGACCCGCTGGCGGGGCTGCAGTTCACGACGGGGACGTTCTACATGCTGGCGGCGAGGATCCGGGAGGTGGCGGCGGAGCTGTGCGGCGGGCGGTGCGTCTTCTTCCTGGAGGGCGGCTACAACCTGGAGTCGCTGTCCAGCTCAGTGGCCGACACCTTCCGTGCGTTCCTCGGCGAGCCCAGCCTCGCCGCGCGGTTCGACGACCCGGCGATGCTCTACGAGGAGCCCACGCGGAAGATCAGGGAGGCCATCGACAAGGCCAAGCACCTCCACTCGCTCTAAGCGCGGCGCCCAGAAGATTGCAACAGTATCTATACTTGGCTGCTGAAACTGCTTGCTGATGCTGGTCAACAACTCAAGATCATATTCATGTCTTGTTAGCTTTTGCACTTTCCAGTGTAGCATTGTACATCGGAAAAGCACGGCATAGTCATTTACATCTTAGTTGCTGTGAATCAGATACATTCGATCGCAAGCTTGTCAATAGTTCAATACCAGTTGTGTAGATTAATACCAGTACTACTGCGATTACTTGCATCTTTCTACTCCAGTTAGTGTCCAGTGGAACCTGTCGAGCTATCAGCATTTTGTTTTATAATACAAAAGCTGACATTTTTTTCCCCATATTTATTAGTCACCTTAATTTGTATAACGTTTAGTCTAAAATTGCATAATACAAAAAGGCTACACCTTTAGTATAAACCCACCACACAATTTTTAGTTTGATCTTTTTTTTTTCTGACTACATGTGTTTGTATCCTTAACCTTAGTATAATTCTCTTGTTTCATATTATAGAGTATTTGTGCTAAAAGTACTTTTTTTTTTTCAATTATAAGGATATTGCTTTGTTTTCATTGCAAAAAAAAATGTTCCAACCCCATAAACATGTGATTTTGACTGTTGATTTAGTCGAAAAGTGTTTGATAAATAGAGAGAAGAAACTAGATTTTTGGTCTCGTTTTTTTTTTTTGGAAAATGTGATCAGTAGTGGGAAAAGAAAAAGAGATTTTGGCCCATAAGAAGGCGACGGCCCACTGTTGGCCCAGCCCATTCCTGCCTGAGCGAAGCAGTCCCCTCTCGATTTTCCTTCTCCGGGGAGTCCACACGCTCTCGCCGCCGCCGCCCCCTTCCCCTCCCGTGACGCGCCTCGCCGCCGGCCGCCGCGCAGCGCCGCCGCCTCCCCTGCAGTCACTCTGCCCCGCGCTGTCTCCCCGCTGCTCCAGCCTCTAAGCGGGAGGAGGCAGGCGCCGGCCACCCCGGTCCGGCGGTTTCCCCCGTCGCTGTCGATCCGGCGATCCTCCATCCTTCCATCCTTGCCAACTTCCGAGGTGGGTTCGGGAGGTAACCCGCATGGAGCATTTAGTGTTCTTCAGTTGATCCTTGGGAAGTAACCCTTACTCATCATGTGGTAGTAGCATTTAGTGTATTTTTTTTTAGTTGATCCTTGTTCATGGGAGCTGCAGTTGTTTACGATGAGTTCATGGTGTTTGGTATGTCACACATGCGCCATGTATTGGTCATTGATGCATCTGAATAGGTTGAACAGATCTTTACAACTTGGGTTTGCTGTGTGAACTGGAATCTTGGAGCAACTCAGTTTCAAAATGTGCAATAGATTAGATGGATAATTCTGATTGGTACTGTAATTTGTAGTACTGTGTCCGAATAAAATTTGAACTATTAAATATGATCCTTGTTGGCATGTTCCCTGCTGTAGGCTGTAGCTGCAGTCTCGGTAGTCATCAGCTAGGCTGATTATTAGTGGCCACAAATCTTACTGTTCATCTACACTCCATAATTAATCCTTAACTTGTTTGTCTATGTTCAGTCACCATATTTTTTCCATAGTTCTCTTTAACTACTGAAATGATTTGGTGTCTACTCATACTCAATTGTTTTCTAAGTAATACTGTATTTATCAATAAAAACATATCTACCGAATGAACAGCCACATCACCGGAAGCTGAATTCTTGGTGGCAATGATGTGTGGGCTGAGCTCTGGTGGGCCTGCTATGTTTAGTCCTTTTATGATTTATTATAGTGTGAAATTTTAAGTTTATAATTCAAGCAGCCGCATGTCTATGAAGGTTTCTGTAAATATCATGCTCTGCTTTGTAAATTCTACCCCAATCTGATGACTTTACCTCTTCATTTTCATTATCTCTCACCCATGGATGGATCTTGTAGTTGCCATCTCACTGCAAACTGCTGCTACAACATTTTCCAATTTTTGTTGTGGAGACCATGTTGTCTGCTTCTCTAAGCAAATGTGCTGATCTTATCTCAGGGCTAGAGTCACATTATGGCTTCAGAGGAACTGAGAACAAGCTTTTCAGATTTAGTGGTGGGTTCTTCATCTCGGACAGACAGCCAAGTTGAATCTTCAGGTGATCCATCATCTGAGGGAGGTGTGCAGGTTACTTGCTTCACTGAGGACCTGCATGATGTTATCCTCCATTTTCAGATAATAAGGTTCTCTAAGCAGGTAAACATGGTTTCCTGGTTCCAAGTTATGTAATTCCAAAATATAAATTGTTCTAGGTAACAACTTTTTCTAGAGTTTTCAGATGTTGTTTGGATCAAGTTCTCCATAAAAAAGATCAGTTCATCTGAGTTGTGCTTGTGATAATTGATTAAAGAGATGCTGATAATTGATCAATAAAGATGTTCTTTTTTTTTTTTTTTTGGTTTGCTCCTCCAATTCCTGGCTTTGGCATTGCAGCAAAATGTTAGTCAAGTGATGCATATCTGACTCTTAAGTCTTAATTGCACAAGTTGATGTGCGTTATATGAAAATACCGTAAATATTGAATATGTTTACATTATCTTAGTTGTACATGTATGTCAGAACATGAAGCATGCTCTTTTAAGCTTGTTTTCCATGTGATTTAAGCTTTCAATGTTCATGTTGTTTGATTCTCGTTGTACTTGCTTGCAATATATTATGCTCTTTGTGCTGCCTTTATTGTGTACCATGTTCCTAATATCTGCAACATATCTGTTTTGAGAACATGAATTTTCTTTAACTGATGGTTAGCTCCCTCAATTCCTGGCTTTGGTATTAATCATCAAAATGTTACTCATCAATGCATAGCTGACTCTTTAACTGATGTAGTTAATGGCATTATATGGAAATAGCATACATTTGAGTATGTTTATATTACCTTATTTGTATGGCAGAACTCAGGACATGAAGCATGCTCTTTTAAGCATGTTTCCCAGGCGATTTAAGCTTGCTCTAGATGGTTTTTACACCATGAATATGATAAAGAAATGCTTATGCTACTAATTCAATATCTCTAAATAACACTTCAACATAGCTTGTGCTCTCCGTTGCTAGTTATATAAGGAAACACCGTACAATGTTTTTGATAGTAACCATGGCCTAGTGCTATCTAATTTAGGTATAATTTTGATGATCATTTTGTTTGAATCTCCTCATGCTTGTTGCAACACGTTATGCTCTCTCTGCTGCCATTGTTGTGTACTGTGTTCCTAACATTTGCAACATATATATTTTGAGATATGGGAATTTTCTTTTTAATTTTAGATCTATGCTTGGGTTGGATGCAACACAGCAAAGTTTGGCCATCTATACGCTGCTGCAAGTACTCGTCCGGTAAAAATTAGAGAGTAATTGTGTTCTTATGATTTGAGGTATAACTATTGCAGAAACTAATATTTCTCCCATGTTACCTCTTCATGGTCATTGCAGGGTAATGGAGTGAGTGTCACCTCTGTACTAGGAGGAACATCTGATAACACTGGTTCAGGCATGGCCCGTCGCTTAGGTACTATTTCTGTTAACAATTGGCCTACGTTCTTAGTTGTATATTGAAAAACAGAAAGCTTATATACATGTCATTTGTCAGTGCTGAAGACAGGTTTGAACATAGTTCTAGCATGCAACATTCCAAAAGACAGTCCCATGCTCGAGGTATGAATCCGCTCATCTTTATTATGTTACAATGTACTCTTGACTGAAGCTATCAATCTCATAGGATCATCATGGTTTCAGGCTGCTGCAGAGAGGAAGCTGATAGAGAAGTTGAGAGGTTTAGGTTATGTCAGACCCAGAGCAGGAGAGGTTAACACTTCCACGGCACAATAATGAGTAACTTGTGAGCTCTCGGTTGGTCAAGAACAGAAACCTTGTGAACCCGCCCTAAATCTTTGCAGGTGATCGTTGGCAATCGCGACTTGTTCATGGATTGATCAGACATCATCTATATGCAGATCATTCTTCAGTACCTAAAAACTCATTGAATCCTACATTAAGGCATTTGCTCCAAGACTTCTCTTCTGATCTTATCTCTTGAGAGGTTGTTAGAGGTTGTCTGGGATGTGATTCACACGTACTTGTACTGTGGATTGTCAGGTACAAGTTGGACCAAACTGAAGCTCCAAAGATTTATGTTAGTGTAAGTACCATTCAGCGAGTACATGCATGTAACAGGAATACAAAGTCATCGATACAATCCATTTGCAAGCTCTTCAATTCTGGGCAAAACGGGTGGAACTTCCACCTACTTTGCTATGATCCTGTCACTGTCGACTATAGAAACGACTGTCTGCACAACTTTCATAATTGCTATCTTCCCTTTTCATGTTGCTAATCCTGATTGTCACATCACATCCACATCTTTCTTATTATCGGAAATGAATAAGGAAAGTCCAATTCGCTATTGACACATCATGCACTCGCGCGCAAAACCCGTGAGTGTCAATAGTGAATTAGATGGATGAAGGATCAAGCAAGGGATGCTTAATAACACTACATATCCACAAGATATAGCATTCATAAGATAAACTCCGAGGGATGGTTATGTCACAATCCTAAATCCAACATACTAGCAAGATAAACTCTAAACAAATTACTAGTGTGGCTTATCCGCTCATGTGACTTTGGCTGGAGGCACTTGCTTCTTCGTGTTACTGGATTCGCTAGCTTCCTCTTAAGCCGGAGGAGGCTTCATCCTTATTTTACTATTAGTAATCATGCACGTGCAAGACACGTTATGTTCAATATATAAATTAAACCCAATATATTATAACCCAATATTCTGAAAGAAGAATAGGTAAAAAGGAAATAGATCATGAGAAAGAGGATCTGCTTCAATCACACTTGAAGCTCTAACTATTCCCTGCTGACTTATGCACAAACTGCACAATTTTCATAAAGTGCATGCATATATGCATTCTGATTTTCATATTAGATACAAGAATTTGCTCAAAAATAAATATGATCTTCAGCCAATGTGCAGAGGTATGCATAAGCCAATGTGCAGAGGTAATGTCTGAGAAAACAACGGAAGAACATTAGATTGATATCTCAAAGGAAGAAGATACATAGCACAATAAATTATTGAAATTGAAGTGGCCACTGACACTAATTATATTTCATAACAGCAAACACTACATAGCATAAACCAAAATCCATACTATGATATCGGTGCACATTATTTAGGGGCAATATCTTAAAATTATTGAGTTGTGCACATTTTGTCCTATTATTATTATGCCTAAGGGGTGGAGGGTATACCAATGACTTCAACTCCTGGAGGGATAGTTTATCCCTTGTCGCCAGTGCGCTTCTTTTTTGGCAATGGCTCAATCACCACTTCATCATCTTCAACTATCACCACTTCTGGTTCTCCTGGAGCATTATTTTGTTCTGCCGGTTGCAGTAGCTCTTGGTTCCTAAAGTTCACACCAATCTTAATGGCGTCATGCAGGACTGGTTCTTTGAACAGGGAGTTTCTCACCTCTGCATCCATTAGAACAAAGATTACAAACAAAATATGCTAGAACAACAGAAATAACAGTGTCCTAATCAATATTAGTTTTAGAATTGCACTCAAAAATAAATTGGAATTGACTTACTTGGAATCCATCAAAGCGACCTTTCTAACACTGTTTGGAAAATTTGCATAATGGTCTACAGGATCGACATCACACACAACGGCAGCAACATTTGTACAAATGTAAACATGTTTCAGAGTTAGTTTCAGCAAGAAAAGAACAAACACAAAATACACTTGTGGTTCGATATACCATACCAACAATTGCGCCATTAGGCAGACTGAAAACTTCAGCAAAAGTCATAGCTGATTCTCAGAAGAGAGACCTTACTAATGATCTATGGAAGAGGAAAGATGAGAAGAAATGCAGTGGCGATGTACTGTGCTGAAGTAGTGGGATTGGGGCTAGCTTAATAGGGGGGACGGATTGGGAGTAAACAGCTTTCCTGTTTTACAGTGTTGATAACAAACCTTCCACTGATGAACACTTCTTGAAATACACAATTAGATTGAACCCCCAAAAAACGCAAAGAGTAATTTGATATTACAAATTGATTCCACGGGATATTACCAGGTGTGGAGGAAGACATAGGTGTGGAGGATGGCACAGGCTGAAATGATGGCTGACAATTTACAGTTTGGCTTCCTTCATGCAAACTCTGATTCAAAACTACAATCCAATTGAATGTGCCCAGGTTTTAGCATTGTTTGCCATAAAATAAGCTTGACCATAATAAGCATCGAATGAAAATATCATCACCTGTGCCCGATGTAGATGCAGAATTCTTCCTCTCCCTGTTTTCACGGTTCCTTTGAACCAGCGCAGCCTTCTCCTCAACGCTGAGTGCCGTGTACCGCTCTCGGGCTCGCTGACTTTTTAATTCCTTTGCAGTTAGTTTAGGAAGGCCGTCCATCGCAAGGATGTACAACCTTGAAGAACACACCATGAGCATATAAAAGCAGTTTTAATATGCAACAGGTTTTCGTTAATATTGATGACAGTCCGCTCGCTATAACAAAATCCCAAATCCACATTTTCTAAGCATCAATTAGAACCTACATGTTACAGAATAACAGGACCTATTGAAGACTTTTCATTTTCTAAGCATCAATTAGAACCTACATGTTACAGAATAACAGGACCTATTGAAGACTTTTCATTTTCTAAGAATCAATTTGAACCACGTTAATCAGAACAACCGGAAACAAGTTTTTCAGCTTCAAACTGGAACAAAAATATTTACCAAGGTAGTATAATGGTCCATAATTCACATTTCTTGTAGAATAAAAGAATCATCGATAGTATTATACCTGAAAACAATATTTGCTCGAAGGGAGTGTGTGAGTTGCTCCCAAGTCCCAATAATCAAGCAACTTATTAAGTTAAATGAGATAAGTACCTGAAAACAATATTTGCTCAAAGGGAGTGTGTGAGCTGCTACCAACTAAATCCCTTGTGTGAAATTGTGAAGCTTCTTCCTGCACAACAGTATATCATCACGCCTGAATCTGTATGGAATATGAGCACAGTGATGTATGTGCAGTTCATATTAATTTTGCTAAAAACAAAGAGAGGAGAACCATGAAGCAATTATAACCTTGCACTGCTGAAACTAAAAACGTTAAGACAAATGGAAATCAAAACATAGGCAGTCTGTTAGTATATTCTATGAGAACTTTTACGGTGTTTGCATTCCAAAAAGGGTAAAGATCCAACAGTTCTCAATCACAGATACTATGTAAAAGGTATTTAAGTATTAGTATATATACTTAGGTACTAAGGATAAAAATATAATTTTGTTAATAGAGCAAAAAGGGTAAAATTGTCCCCTCCCCCAAATTATAATAGGTACTAAGTAGGTACGACTGTACGAGTTAACATCTACCTGGTACCAGCGTTACATGTTCTTATTTGTGTCACTTTTGCGTGGTTTTCCTGTAGATTTACGCTGTGTTCGAGTTAGGTCATTTACACGGCACTAGCGTAACAGGTTCTTAATTCATTTTCTCTAGATTTACTTTGTATTGTTTGATGTTCTCTTTTACGTGATTTTCTTTAGATTTACATTGTGTTCTTATAACATGTTTTTGGCCTTGGGCTAGCAATTGGTGACAAATGTACTCGAAATCCATATAATTTTCATTTTTGTCATCTATGAAAGCCTCATTTTCATCACCAATCCCAGCTTCAGTAGTATCCATGTCATCATCATTTAGGTCATTTGCTTGCTCATGAACTAGTTCTCGCAAGACCAACGAAGCAGATGGAGTTGCAAAGAGAGGACCTTTCCGTAGATCTATAGCACATGCGTGAATTGCACTCGCAGATTTGGTCTCCATGTCCATGTCTAGCGGCAAGCCGGTGAGTGCCATTAATCTGGTCGTTAGCGCCATGTCCAACCTGGGGAAGAGGAAGATGGCAACGTACGGGCCTTCACTGGCACTAGTGATGGGAGAGACGCAGGTTGCACTGCCGCACCGGCACCGGTGTGGGTGATGGGAGGAACTTTAGGTGGCAGCAGAGGTGGCTCCGCTGCTGGCCACAACGTCGGAGATGAACTGGTTCAAACCCTAGAGCACGAACAAACCAAAGGGAGAGAAGAAAGGAGACACGATTTACTTTTTGATATAATCGAATCAATCCCTAAATCAACGGAGTATCCTTGATTTACTTTTTTCTCTACAACGATACCAATAGCTACTACGATACACCGACCAATGGAAGGAGGTATTCAATTCAAATGTATTGCCTATGTTTTACTAGTTAATTACTCAAATGCCATCATGTTACAATAATTTTGTTCCGTACCTTGCCCCTCTCTTGATCAACGGTGCACATTATTCCACCTCTAAATACCTCGCAAACACCGTAAAAGATCTCATATTCTATTGCCTGAACTACTAAATTAAGTTCATACTGTCCATTTTTAGAGCTGACATATATGGAGGACAAACAGAAAAAAAAATCCATACTACCCACATCGTGGGGAAAATAATACAAGGCCCATTGCAAGCACAATTTCAGAGAGTAATTTCGTAAGCATTGCAAATCCAAGAACAAAAACATTGATATTTGAATGGCCAATCCATATATTGCATAGCCAAGCTCATAATGAACACAGTGATGTATAGAATGGTGATGCTTTACACAAACCACACAGCAGAGGGAGAGGAGGATGGCAGTGAGCTGAAGGGGAATTGTTTGGCAGTCAACAAAGAAAGACCATCAAATTGTATAATTGAATGATGAATCGAAGCTGCAAGATAGAGTCTGATTACCTGTACGTCTCAACGATGTTGAGATTCCCTCCTATTGTTCAGCACCTAGGGTATAGGCACATTGGTCAAGTACAGCAGCATGACAGGAGATGGGCAGCGGAGCGAGGCAGCGGAGACAACGTCGACGATGGCGACAGGGACTGCGGCAGCGGCAGATGGGGAGGACGTCGGCTCCGGCCGCGGCCGATGGGGAAGAGGCCGGCCGCGGCGGTGGGGAAGAAGGAGGAGGTGGCGGCGGCGGCGGTGGAGAAGAAGCAGGATCCGGCGGCGGCGTCTCCGGCGAGGATGCGGCGGAGCGGCGACAGAGCTCCTGCGAGGATGTGGCTTCAGTACACATGGGGAGGAGGAGGAGAAGCGAGCGAAGTCTGCGCGCGTGGAGGAGCGAAGTCTTCGCATCCTGCGGTGGGAACGAAATCGTGCGGTGGTGAATGAAATCGCGTGGATGGACAGTAGGGATTCATCCAAGTGATTTGGCCTGTAGAATTAGAAGGTGACAATTTCTTTTTATATTAGTATAGAATTTGCTATGGAGTTATGCGTCTTTTTATTGATTATAGGTGTTCTGTCGAATCCCGAGAGTATATAGCCATTTCTATGAGAATACGATGATTTTTCATTAACTGCATGTAGTTTTGGATTTTTTTTCTGGAAATTGTCAACTTATTGGATGCCTTTGAATTATTTCTTAAGATTCAAAGACCTTTCATAATATACTATAATCTCTCCTGGTTCCCAAAATAAATCTTAAGATGGCCCTGGGTGGATTCGTCTCAAAAGAAAAATAATAAAATGGTGAAGAGACCTTTCTGAGAAACGCAGTACAATCACAAGAGCTCATAACGCCCGCGTATTCACCCTGTGAACGCGCACACACACATCCTACCTCTATAAACACCTCCGGAAAACTAAGCCGGCATTCCTTGTGATTGATGAAGTCATCACGAATGTCTCGCTGTTAATATGTATGTTGTCTATCACTGAAATAATAATTAGCATAAATACGAGCACCTATTTCAAGTGAATAGACCTTTTATTTGAAATAGTTTTGAATTCCACGAAATCCGAATTTCTTCGGAATTTTGTCATCCACCCAGAAACTACCTGTGTGCGAAGTGAACCAATGTCTCCTTCCAAAGTTCCAAGCCTTTCTCCGTCCGTCCATTGTCACTTGCATCATCGTCGTACTACCAAGCAGGCGACATTTGTCACCTATCTCTTTCCTACCCCCACGTGGTCCTCGCGCCCATTATCCGGGCCCACACGTCAGCCTCTCCCGTCCACTGTCACCGACGTGTGGGCCCCACTCCTCTCCACTGTTATCCTCTCTTCTCCAGTGAGCCGTGCCCGTCTGCTCCTCCTCCAATCTCTCCCATGCCGTCTCAGCTCAGCTGCCTTTAGCTACTAGCTGGACTAAAGCTAGCTCGCGCACTTGGGGATGTTTTAGATCCATAATGTAAAATTTTACCGTGTCACATCGAATATTATAGAATGTTTGGTGTTCGGTTACTAATAAAAATTATTAATTATAGAATCCGTCAGTTAACCACGAGGTGAATTTATTAAAACTAATTAATCCATCATTAGAAAATGTTCACTCTAGCACCACATTATTAAATTATGGAGTAATTAGGTTTAAAAGATTCGTCTCATAAATTAGATGCAATATATATATATATAATTAGTTATGTTTTAGCCTATATTTAATATTTTATATTAGTGTTCAAACGTTCGATGTGACATGTGTAAAATTTTGACGCTGGATGTAAACAAGCCCTTATCTTTCCAACTCACTCTCGCGTTCGCGTCGTCTCCGGCCTTTTCTTGCTCTCCTCGTCTTCTTCCTCCCCCATCTTCCGGCTGATGAATGCAGATGTCATCTCATCTCATCTCATCTCTATCCAATTCCAACACGGACACCTATAAGAGGTTGGTAACTCGTAGCTGGGCATTGTCACTTCTTGTTCTTGGCAGCGAGCGCCATTTCCAGAGGATTTCTTGGGTTCTATAGGTGAGGTTGGAGGCGCAGCTTCGTCGTCGTCTGATGGCGCCATGGCGTGCGGCGGCGATGGCGTCGTCCCAGCTCGCGCGCCGCGCGGCGAGGAGGCTGCTTTCGTCTCAGCATCGCCGTCACTGCGCCGCGCCCGCCTGTCCCTGGCTCCTGGGCTCGGCGCCGCCGGTTCTTGCGCCGTCTCCGGTGGCTGCGGCGGCGGCGGGAGATCGTCGGGGATTCTGCTCCGTCCGGCGTTTCACCGGGGAGAGCAACGCCGCCGCCGCCGTCGAGGAGGCGGAGAACGGGTTGGTGGCCGGTGGTGATCAGGTATGTAGACAGCACACGTGCCTTACTGTCCTTCACCCATTCTTAGTATGCCACTGCTCGTACGAATGTTCAGAATAATCTTGTGTCTGAAACTCTGAATCATATACAATTATTCTTCGATAGTTTTAAGCCAAATTGATGTCCTTTTGGGATCTGGATTCTGCAAGGATCATATCCTGAACTCTAGATGAAAATAACATAGGGGGTGTTTAGATTCAGGAGTACAAAGTTTTGGCGTGTCACACCGGATATTATATGGGTGTCGCATTGGGTGTTCGGGCACTAATAAAAAAACTAATTACAGAATCTGTTAGTAAATCGCGAGATAAATTTATTAAGCCTAATTAATCCGTCATTAGCACATGTTTACTGTAGCACCACATTGTCAAATCATGGAGAAATTAGGCTTAAAAGATTCGTCTCGCAAATTAGTCGCAATCTGTGCAATTAGTTATTTTATTAAGACTATATTTAATACTTCATATAAGTGTCCAAACGTTCCATGTAACCGGGTGTAAAGTTTTGGGGTGGGATCTAAACAGGGCATATTCTATAGAACTATGCTCCTTCAAAAGTTTATTAGGGACTCTCTCATCCTAAAATACAATCACCTTTAGCTATGTATATGGCACAAGGTCACTTTCAACTATGAATCTGGACAAAAGTTTATCTATGTTCATAGCTACACGGAGATATATTTTGGGACGGAGAGAGTAGTAATCAATTCATGCCGTCTCTAAAAGCAAAGGTTGGAATGAACTAATCCATTTATCTTAATAAAAATGGGTTTATTACATAACAAGAGAAAATGGTTTCTTTCTTACTTTTTCGGTTTGGTAGGACACCATTTGTCATTTTCTTTCACAGCATCTCTGTGCTTACTCCCTGGGCTGCAAAGTAACGGCCAAGCCGTCAATTCCTCCCCTGAGTTTTCATGAAAGGAAGAGAAATTTGGTTGAAAGAAAAGTAAGCACAGAACAATTGTGAATTGAATTGATAACAAGTGATGAACCAATCAGATAAGGATGGAGTGACGTGTGGTTGCGTCAATGAATTGGGTGTGATTGGCTTCTGTTTGGTAAGCTCACAAGGATTGAGGAAACGTGTGATAATCCTACTATTATTTAGTTTTAATACACCTGCCCAAAAATTATTTAGTTTTAATACTTGCTGTGCTTTCGGTGTCAATGGATGAGGTCAATGATTAGGAGTCTCATCTGGTCTTCTACGTGTAAGGATGCTGACTTTATCATGATAGATTAATTAATAGATAAATTAGTCCATTACCTTCAAGACCAATGTCAGACTGATATTGATTAGCCTTTCCAATAATTCAATTCAAGTTCTAGTCTAAAAAATAGTAATTCACTTCAAGTGGAATTCACTTTTGGTTTTGGTGGCCAATGTTGAGATAAATTTATTTTTCCCATGGGAAATTCAGTTTTTTTTAACTATTTCCACAGCAGGCAATAGATTTCCCTGGAGGAAAGGTCTCCTTTGTTGCTGAAATGAACTTCCTTCCAGAATCTCAGAGGGATAGGATCAACTGTTACCGTGTTCTTGACGATGACGGCAGAACAATATCTGGAAGCAGATTCCAAGAGGTATGGTAGTAACATCCAAGGCTCCATGAGTTATTTCTGAAACATGTTGTAAAAGATGGTTCCGTTCTGAAGTGTGTTCCGTTCTGAAGTGTGTGTGGCTCACTCTTGTCAGGTCAGTAAGGAGCTGGCTCTGAAAATGTACAATGAAATGGCCACCCTCCAGGTCATGGATACAATCTTCTTTGAAGCTCAGAGGCAGGGAAGAATCTCATTCTATCTCACTTCACATGGTGAGGAAGCAATCAATATAGCCTCTGCTGCTGCACTTACTATTGATGACATTGTACTGCCTCAGGTATATATCAGTTACTCCAAAACTTGGATGATTAAGCTAGCAATGTTGCTGACAAGTAACTTACTGTCATTCTCTTGGCTGGAAACTATGGAGCTGAATGCAGTACAGGGAACCTGGTGTTCTTCTATGGCGCGGCTTCACACTGCAAGAATTTGCAAATCAGTGCTTTGGGAATAAGCTGGATTATGGTAAAGGGAGGCAGATGCCAATACACTATGGATCGAACCGTCTGAATTATTTCACGGTGTCATCGCCTATTGCGTAAGTCTGAAATATCTCTTCCATGTCCACACCAAATTCATGCAAGCCAAGGGCAGGTTCATCATTCTTTGATGATTCATCAGTACACAGCTCCCTCATGCTGTTGGAGCTGCGTACTCCTTGAAGATGGACAAGAAAGATGCATGTGCCATCACGTATTTTGGCGATGGCGGCACAAGTGAGGTAGATTGATGAACAACCACTGATCATGCATCAGCCACTACATTGTTACCCAGCATTTCTGACAGATGAAAAATGTTCAGGGAGACTTCCATGCTGCACTCAACTTTGCAGCAGTTATGGAAGCGCCGGTGATCTTCTTCTGCCGCAACAATGGCTGGGCAATCAGCACCCCAACTAGTGAACAGTTCAGAAGTATGACATTTTTCTTGATCATGCATCACAATTACAATTTACAGGTGATCTGTACAACAACTTGAATTCTACTGCTATTGCAGGTGATGGAGCTGTTATCCGTGGTCAAGCTTATGGAATGCGCAGTATCAGAGTAGATGGAAATGATGCTCTTGCTGTGTACAGTGCAGTTCACACAGCCAGGGAAATGGCTATCAAGGAAGGAAGGCCAATTTTAGTTGAGGTGAACAATTTTTCAAGTCACAGCAACATAAAATAGGTTTGATGTGAATACTGAACATTAAACTTTCAGGCACTGACTTACCGGGTCGGCCATCACTCGACATCCGATGATTCAACCAAATACAGGCCGGTCGATGAGATCGAGCACTGGCGAACAGCGCGAGATCCGATTTCCAGGTACAGAAAATGGGTTCAGGGGAATGGCTGGTGGTGTGATGAAGATGAATCTGAACTCAGGAACAATGTGAGGCAAGAGGTAACGTTTCTTTAGCAGAATGGTAGTATATCTGTCTAGTTCAACATCATGCATGATATCTGAAATTGCCGGTTTAATTCTTCACAGCTTCTGAAAGCCATTCAGGTGGCAGAAAGAATGCCGAAACCGCCGCTCGCTGAACTATTCACCGATGTTTATGATGAAGTTCCTTCCAACCTAAGAGAGCAAGAGCGATTGCTGAGGGATACAATCAAGAAGCACCCTGCAGACTACCCAGCTGATGTGCATATTTAGTTGTATTGGGTGACCAGAGGTTTCCATATTGTAGTAACTATTGATAATTTAGGTTCATAGCATTGATAAATAATAACAACAATAATTCAGGCAATAAAATGCTGATCCAACAGTTATAAATCAAATACAAAAAAAATATTGTTGCTATGAATCATAAATATAAAAGGAGTATATGAGATAATGGTACAGCAAGAACACAGGGCAAACACTTATATTGCACACAAATTGAAAACAGCATCACAATTATCATTTTTTTTCATCTGATGCACGAGTGAATCAGCCTAGTATTCCTTCCTCCTTCATAGCCTCTTGGGCAGCTTTTACAACTAATGGCATCAAATATTTATTTGTTGCAATAATGCCAGCATCACGATCAAGATATCTACCTTTGGAGAAATCCAAATCGTTTCCTGAAGCATCTTTTACCAAACCTCCAGCTTCTGCAAACATGAGAAAAAAAAACTTACCGAACAATGTTTATTTTATTTGAGAACAGAACGATACTTTAGTTGAATTCATTTTTTTGTGAATATAGTTATTATATACCTGTGACAATAATAGACCCAGCTGCATGATCCCATACTGCTTCTTTGGAACGTTTGTGTGGAAATCGCCAATAAATGGCGCCATCACCTTGGGCTACAGCACCATATTTTGCTTGGCTATCAATTCTAACTGGAGGAGCTTGAATACCAAGTTTCTGCCAAGCATAATATAATCAGATTTACTTGTGTGATTATTCATATCAGAAACAAATTAGGTATGCAACTTTTGGGGACCAACCTCTGCAATGGAGGAAGTGCAATCACGCATGCAGTGTTTTCTTTCATAAGATTCAAAGAATGAGGCATCCACTGGATTGCTGATAGAACAGACACTGATCTAAAATTGGAAGTTAGAAAACAAGATGGTAAATAAAAAGATAATATTATTCAGAGAAGGGAATAATCTAATCCACAGATAGTTCAGGAGAAAGTGATAAATTACCTTTTGTGGCTGAGAGCCTTCTAAGGACTCAACTGTAGATCCACAGCCAATTGTAGCAGAAAAGAGGGCACCAACTTGATCTCCCGAAGATCCACCATTGTGATCTATTGATTTGAAAGGAAGATTTGGGCATGCCATTGCTCCCAAAACTACTTTGCCTTCGTCCAGTAATGCAAGTCCAATTGCATATTGGTCTCCCCTTATGAAACTGCATTAACACAAATGTTGGGATTATAAAGGAAATTCCTTAGTGAATCATGCCAATAGTAACAAAAGGTTTTGCACAGGACACTACTTTTTATCAATAATTGGAATATGGAGTATCTGAAATCATAATATACCTCTAAAAATTAGTATAATTTACACATCTTTGATGTTTTCAGAATCATTTGTTAAAGAGGTGAAATAAGAAAATTACTGCCAAATATGCAAACTTACAAGAAAAATAGACCCTAGGTCGATTAACACTTTACTAGTTTGTTTGTATTGCATTGTGATTATATCTCCCAGAACCACCAACACTTATACACCATGGCTGTAACATGTTTGAGTATAGTGTTCTTCCATTTCAACTAATTTATTAAAGACATGTGGTATCATGGCCTTTTATTATACTAATTCAAAATGCATGAATATTATTTGTTTCATTTCCACATTTGATGAAGTATAACTTTATGATGCTATTATGCATTGAAGAGAAAAATAAACAAAGTATTATAAGGAAGCATGATGGGCACATTGCACAATCGATGAGTGGACGACGTTGAAACTTGAAAATGGCAGGGCCAGGTTCGAGATATTTAACCATTTGCCACTTTTACACGTGACAATTAACTATTTGCCACTGGACCCACATGTTATCGACACATGTGGACCCACGTGTCATTGACATATCGGTGGCAAATAGTTAAATGCCAAATCTAAAAGTGGCAAGCTTCTTGGTATAGTGGTCGTGCCGACGAGCCAGGTAACCTGGCACTCTGCCTCGGTGTTACGACAGGGCTTGGTTGCTTCGCATCTCGATCTAATGGCCAGGATGCTTCATCCTCAACATTTCAGCTGAACACTTGTAAAGTTTGTAATTTTTTTTTCTTCCCCTCCTTGGTACAAGCTCGGCCAGCGTGCTTCGCCGGCCCGGCGAAAAAAATTATTAGTATGTACCGTTGTTAGTTTGTTACACATTGTCCACATTTATACAACACCAACAATAACAACCACCACCTTTAATGCTAAGCAAGTTGGATTGGACCACAGGATTGAGATAGAACACATGTCAAGTCAAGGGAACCAAATTAATTGTACTAGTAAAATAAATCACCAATTTCCACCAAAAAAACTGAAATATCACCATGTTCATCCACATCTAAAGTAGGGATTCTGTGACTTGTGTTTGTGCTAGAGCAGCTTGGACTAAAACTAACAATTCAGGTATGGCTAATGTACCTTGGGATGATCTATAATCACAGCAAAATACTTGCATTTAATTTTCTAGCAGTCGAACATGATACATAAAAACTTACCCCTTAGTTCCATCTATCGGATCCAATATCCAATATCGCCCAGAAGGTCCACCCTCAGATTTTCCACCATCGATTGCTACCAGCACATCTTCCTTAGATAATGTGATGCTGTACGAACCATCATTTATGATGGTTTCGTTCACAAGTTTGGTGATATGTCCCAACATTTCTTGAGCTCCATCTTTCCTCAAGTCTTCAGAATCCTTTATAAGTCAACAAGTAATGGAAAAAGATGCTTCTCTGTGTGATAACTGAACAAATAAGGCGAAATGTATACTATTTGTAAATTACCTCTTCAGCCACCATGGAAAAGGAGTTAGAAGGTAATTCAATCTTCAGGACCACACTTACCAATACCTGTGATCCTGGTAATGGAATGTAAACTATTTCAGAAGTTCATATCTAGCACAAGTTACAAAACATAATAATATATCCATTTTTTTAGGAAATAAAAATTACTTATTTTGAAAAATCATTCATATATTATAATAGAACAGATGAAGAATATCGTAAAATCGTATCAACAAATACCATAATCGGCGACTGTCACCGGTGTTCTGTCAGCCTTAGTTTGAACGTCCAATTTCAAGAGGTCCTGCTGCACTTTCTGAAGAAACAAGAAGACACAAAACAAGAGGTAAGTACATCCAAGCAGCTGCAGCAATTTCAGTCAGAAATTTTCATCTCAAGATCAGGTAAACAAAACCCCAGATCAATGGCCACAGCTAACACGACCAGAAGTCAATGCAAAACCTCATCCATCTCAATCCCAAAGCTGATCATAGAAAGAAATAACAAGGGGAAGAAACGAGAAATAACCTTGCAGAGGCGGGCGGCGAGGGCGACGGCCTTCTTGGCGGCGGCGTGCTCCGCTCCGTACTGGTTGCCGGCGGCCGGCGGCGGCGGCGATGGCAGCTCCGACATGGCAGAAGCTGAGGCGTGGTGGAGAGCAGGTGATGCTTTTAGTCAGAGTGAGAGTGGAGTCAAACTGATAATGTCCAGTGATTTAGGTATATCAAACTAATCACGTCAGTGGATTAGGTATGAGTACATAGTATATGACATCGGTTGCACAACCTGAGATCATTGCTACTATTAAAATATTTGTCCTACCACAGTAGTTGGAACTCACATAGCAATATTGCCCCGAGTTAGGGAGAATCAGGCCAATTTAATTATTTCTTCTGAATCCAGATGAAAGAACATTCATGTGGTGCCAGCTCACCCACCAATTAGATGCAGAAATGTGCAACAATAAGATACTGAATTTGCAGCAGCAACAACAACAAAGTGGTGCTGTACACACATTTAAAGTAATGTTGATGGGGAAGCAGCACTGCAATTATTATTATATGGAAACATTATGATATTTGTGGATTGTGGATTGAGACAGCTACTACAACGGGGAAGCAGCCTGGTTTTGCTCCTTGATGGCATCTTGCACAGCCTTCAGGAGTGAAGGCATCAGCTGCTTGTTCGTCGCGATGATCCCTGTGTCGAGATCAAGAAATCTCCCTTTGGAGAAATCCAAATCGTTTCCTGATGCATCTGTCACCAGACCTCCAGCTTCTGAAAACAGCACAAGCAGAATATCAATCTAAAATGTTTCAGTTGGTTTCTACGTTTTAGCACAAGCAGAATATCAATCTAAAATGTTTCAGTTGGGTTCTATGTTTTTTTTCAGGTTGTTGGGTTCTATGTTTTCAATGTTCAAAAAGAGAACCTTCATACCTGTCACGACGATTGACCCAGCTGCATGATCCCAGATCTTCTCTCTGTAACCTTTGTGTGGAAAACGCAAGTAAATGGCACCGTCACCTCGGGCTAGGGCACCGTATTTTGCTTGGCTATCAATTCTAACTGGAGGAGCTTGGACACCAAGTTTCTGCCAGCATTCAAACACCAGATTACCCAAGTAACTCTCGTGGACCTGTACTAGGCAAAGAATAATTCAGGACAAACCTCCGCAATGGAGCCTGTTAAATCACGCAAGGAGTGTGCCCCTTCGTAGGACTCAAAGAATGAAGCTTCGACTGGATTGTCGATGGAACAGACACTAATCTGGAAGTGAAAATAACCAAAAGCAGATTAAAAAATTAGTTCCATTCTCAAATAGGTAAAAGTAAGTCAAAGTTATAATATGAAATAAAAGGAGATGTAACCTTTTGTGCTGGAGAGCCCTGTAAAGACTCTACTTCAGCTCCACAACCAATAGTAGCAGAAAAGAGAGCACCAACTTGATCTCCCGAGGAGCCACCATTAAGGTTGCCTATTGATCCCAAAGAAAGGTTGGGACAAGCCAATACACCCAAAACAACTTTACCCTCATCAAGCAGAGCCAGGGCAATAGCATATTGGTCTCCCCTTAAGAAACTGAGTAACGTTGTAAAAAAAATGTGAATTTGGGTCAGAAGTTTGAGATATGCACATCACAAGAGTACTAATTTGACAGGATGCCTTTTACATGGCTTTTAATTTTATGACCTCTTATATATGTTGCATGCAACCTAGCAGATGAAAAGAAAATGAAACATGCAGTATCAACTAACCTAGTGTGTGTTCAGGGTCATGCTATATTAATTAGTCCACTTCAGTGCAGCTTAGAAGTTAGAAGCATCTAATAAGAGAAGACTATGATAGGCTTCTGTTCTTTCAAAGTGGGGAAAAAAGTAGTGCCATTTACTGCACTATGCTCATTACAAACAACTGTAATAAAGAAGCAGCATGAGTTCTGATTGTGCAGTGAATGGTGGGGATGAACTGATGTTTTATGTTTTGACTGCAGCAGCATATTCTGCAACCCAGAGATTTAGGTCAGCAAACTCACCCTTTAGTCCCATCAATTGGATCTAGCACCCAGTGTCGCCCAGATGGACCTCCCTCAGACTTGCCATCGTCAATTGCAGAGAGGATACCTTCCTTAGAGAAGTAAATGCTGTATGTACCATCATCTACGATAGTTTCGTTTACGAGCTCGGTGATATTTTCTAAAATTTCTTCTGCGCCTTCTTTCCTCAATTCTTCCGAGTCCTACATGAGTACATATCCCAATCAATTGTGAAAGACTTGTGCGCTGTCCATCGAAACCAGTAGGCAGAAACAGAAACAGATGATAATTACCTCCTCAGCCACCATAGAGAAGGAAGAAGAAGCTGGTGCTTCCATTTTCAAGACAAGGCTTACCAATATTTGAGACCCTACATGAACCAAAAGAAAACTAGAGGTGAATGGTGAGCCGCGATAAAGCAGAAGCACCATGTAACAATGAACAGCAAAATTGTCCTATCAGTCCTTTACATTCCCTAGCAAACAAAGATGCAGTACGAAAAAGATGCTCTATGAATTCCAAATTCTGATGAGTACACATGTCAATAATTCAGTTGCAAACATCAAAGGAAGAAACCTTGGCAACAACTGAAGAGATGAACAGATCGTACCATAATCGGCAACTGTCACCGGACTTTGATCCGCCTTAGACTGAACACCAGACTGCAGAATGTCCTTTTGCACCGCCTGTAGTGGAAAAAAACAAGGATTAACATAAATGAATTCCACCTTCAGAACCAAGCATCCAAACATTCACTGCAAAAGGAACATTAATCCTGCACCCAAGCATCCAAGCTTGTTTTCTTTTTCCCCCTAGTGGAACATTAATCTTGGTTATGACAGCTATGACTAATTTGACTACCCACACAGTCTATGCCACCATTTCCATTCCAGCTCTGAAGCCGAATCGTAGTACTCGACACGTTCTCACAGTCTTGGTCTACATTACAGTCCGCGCATTCGGCCTTGTTCCCCGCTGAAGCCGAGCAATTATTCAGACCGACGACGAGATATGGTCTGGTCCTTACAGCGCAAAGTAGTGGGGAAGCAGAGAGGGAAAAAAAAAGAGAAGAGGGCACCTGGCAGAGGCGGGCGGCGAGGGTGACGGCCTTCTTGGCGGCGGCGAGCTCAGCGGCGTAGGGGTTCCCGGCGGCCTGCGACATGGTGGCGCTGGCGCGGAGTCTCGCGGCAGCGGCGGAGGAGGGGCGCGGGTAGTTGGGGGGGAAGGTGGGGAGGAGGCGGTGGTGGTGGCGGGGAAGATAAGGGGGGAGGCGGAGGCGAGGTGGGCGCAGCGAGGGGGAAGAGCTGGAGGCGTGGAGCGCGTGCGAGACGGAGACGGAGACGAGGCCCACGCGCGCCGCAGCCATGCATGTGTATGGGTGGGTGCCGCTGCCCGCCGGTGTCGGTGTGTATAGGCTGCGGCCTCCGCCGGAGGAGGAGATGGAGAGAGCCCACTCGATCGATGGGTTAAAAGTTGTATTGGGCCGTTTGAGTTACTGGGCCTGAAATAGGTCTTCGAGTTTGTGGATGGCCCGTCCATCTCGCGGGCTGAAGCAGCGCATTCGGATCTGGAAAAAGTACACCGAAGGTCCCTCAACTTGACACCGAGTTACAGAAACATCCTCAAACCGCAAAACCAGATATCCGGCGTCCCTTAACTAATCAAAACCGGTCACTTTAGATCCTCTGGTGGTTTTGACACCGATTTTGTCCTACGTGGCAGCTGAGTCAGGGTGAGCCCCACAAAGGCCCCACATGTCAGGTGTCCACTTCAGCACCTCTCTCTTCCTCCCCCTCTCTCTCTCTTTCTCTTTCTCTGTTTCTCTCCTTCCTCGTTCTCGCGAGCTTCCCCCAGGTGGCCGACGAGCTCGACCAAGTCATTGGCTGCGAGGCGGTCGGAGACCTATGTCTTGAGCTCGCGCCGCCTCGAGCAAAAAGAGTTGGACGAGGAGGCGGCGGCCATGGGCCAGCGTCCACGGAGCAGACGCTGGACGCGGCGTCGTGGTGGTCGTCTCCATCGTAGCGGCAGGGGATTTGGTGGTTCTTGGCGTCGTGGCTATGTAGCTGCTACTGCTACCGGTTCGCTCAAGGGACGAGACGAGCTGTCTCGGCGAGCCGTCGAGACGGAGCCCGAGAAGTAGCTGGCTTCCCGGAGCATCCGCGGGTTCGGCGGCGACGATGACGGTGGAGGACGGTGTGCCGGTGGCTGAGCGCCTGCATCGGCAGGATGCCGGACCGCCCGAATGGCGTGGCCGCAGCTAGCATGCCAGATCACGGGGTCTTCTCCCCCAAATCTCACGTGCCAGTCGCTGCCGCGAGATGGACGCGACGGCGTCATCCTCCTGCTCCTCGCCGGCGGCGGCTGCGGCCGCGGATGCCTCGTCGTCGGCTCACCTGCTTCTTCGAGGAACGCTCGCCATAGTCAGCGTAAGGGGGTTCGGCTCCGGATGCTGCGACGTCGGGGGCGGCAGCCTAGCCGCTCCGGCGGCATCGCCGATGTCATCGCCTTCAGAAGGAGGACGGAGGCGAGGGTGTCGAGGAAGCCGCCATTGTCCTTGCCAAGGATACGGCGCAGGGTGGGCTCGGACGGCTTGAGGGAGTAGAGCACGCCCAGGGCCTCCTCCTTCGGCGAGCTCGTCGACATGTGGGAATCGATCACCGAGTTGAGCAGGTCATCGTCCGACCTGGCCGACGTGTAGGTGGAGGCGGCGGCGTGGCTCTGGACGACGACGGAGACGAGGAACTTAACGGCACCGGGCGTAGCCTCGACGCAGCGCTTGTTGCGGTCGCTCTCTGTGGCGATGGCCTTGATCTCCCTGAGCGCGGCGAGCTGCCGCTGCCTGCCACCACCGCTGAGCATCGTTGTCCCCTCGTCAACGAGCGCGGCGACGCGGCAGGAGTCGATGGGCGGGTGCGGGGTGGGGAACCGCTCAAAGGAGTGCGCGGCGCACCATGCCTGGATGACCCCGCCGCAGCGTGTGGTTGGGCGTTGCCTCCCGCTCTGCCAGCGCCAGCTGCCGGGTGATCTCGCGCTTCCTCTCGGGATGTCCTTCGCCACCGTCCTTGCGCAGGTGCGTCATGGCGGGTGGATTTCCTTGGTGCTGTTTATGATCCTCTCAGTGATGTTCGTGCCATCAAATGTACACCCAGTCCACGATGACGAACACGCGGCGCACCGTGTAGAGCAGCGGCACCAGTGCCCTCACCAGTGGCGAGAACGCGCCGCGCCCAGGGTGCAGACCATGTTCTCGGTGAGATCTGGCACGAGAGGAGAAACAGAGAAAGAGAAGAGGGGAAAAAGAGAGGTGCTGACGTGGACACCTGACATGTGGGGCCCGCGTAGGTCCTACGCTGACTCAGCTGCCACGTTGGACAAAACTGGAGTCAAAACCACCGGAGGACCTAAAGTAACCGGTTTTGATTAGTTAAAGGGTGCCGGATATCTGGTTTTGCGGTTTGAGGATATTTTTGTAACTCGATGTCAAGTTGAGGGACCTTCGGTGTACTTTTTCCTTTGGATCTTGCACAGGTGTGGGTCTTGCATCTCGTGGGCCTTCGTGTTGTTAATGGGGGACATTTAATTTAGGAATAAGATCACTTTGACTCCCTCAACTGTCCACATCTAAATCGTATCCCTCAATCGCAATACCAGAAATCTTGACCCCCGAACTTGCAAAACCGGTGCAATTTGACTCCCTTGGTGGCGCACACGTGGTAGTGTTGACCTGATGTTTGTCCCACGCGGCATTGACGTGACGCTTATGTGGCATTAATATAAAAAATATATATGCGGGCCCATTTGTCATTCACAAAAAAAATGTGTGGGACCCACTGACATGTAGGTCCCACATGTCATCATCTCTTATCCCTTCCTTCTTCCTCCTCCCTCTCCCCCCTCCTCTATCTCGCCGCCTGCATCTTCCTCGCGGGCTCCGTCCTCACGGGCCTCACCCCCAACTTCGCCACACTCCTTGCCGGCCGCTGCGTCGCTGGCGTCGGCGTCGGCTCCCTCGGCGTTCCTGCACCCGACGCCGCCGGTGCGGCGCATCGTCATCGCCGTCCTGGGGATCTACTTCTTCCAGCACCTCATCGGCTTAGAGGCCGTGGTGCTGTACGACCCAAGCATCTTCAAGGCGGCCGGCATAGCTAGCCGCAACTCGGTGCTCGCGACGACGATCGGCGTGGGCGTCACCAAATGGCGTTCATCATCACCTCCCTCGATGCATCTCAGGCTGGCGTCCCCGGCCACCGTCGCCCACCGCCGCTCCGCCTACTCCAGCAGCGCCATTAACGACACCCTCCCACCGTTGCCGGAGCCGTGTATGGAGCAGTGACCGTCCTTGTCGACGTCAGAAGCGGTGTCCTTTGAGGACGCCGGAGCCATGCCGCTGAGAAAGGAGTTTCCTCAAGTCCGTGCTGGTCGGCGTGTGAAATTTGGACAATTTGTCGTGGCTTATTTTGTTTTGTTTTTTCAATTTTAAATTTCTTGTTTCGAGATGTTGAACTGATGTAGTGGTTTTAGTTTTGAGCATTGTAGGATCTATCGCCATTGTTTAGCTGTGTATAGATGTGTCCCAGCACTCCTTTGCTTTTGGCTACTGCCCAGCGGGCAATATTTGTCCTCTTCCCTATCCCCCTTCGAAGCAAGGCACCCTCTCCGCCATGGTTCCCCTTCCCCGACGCGGCCAAACAGATAGAGCTGGAGCGCCCGCGCCGCTGCCGAGGGACCCGAGCTCCCGCGTCCTCCTAGTAGCCAGCCAGCTCTGCCTTGGGCCTAGGCGGCTAGCCCTGTTGAGATTTGTGAATGTTTGGTCTCGTCAGTGGCTAGCTCCCCGGCGACGGTCGGCAGCACAGCGGCAGCGGCCATGGTGTAGTCTATCGGGAGGAGGAATGAAGCGAGGGGCATATCTAGCCTCCGGATCCGCAACTCCAATGGCTGCACGCCTGCCCTCCCACCCGCCACTGCCGCTTCGTCCATCGCCCCCCATCGCCGCCGCCGATCCGGACGCCACTCCCCACGCGCGAAGAGAAAGAGGGAGAGATAGAGAGGGAGGAGAGGGAGGAGGACGAAGGGATAAGGGAGGATGGCACGTGGGATCTACCACAAATATATTTGGGTGAATGACAAATGGGCCCCGCATATATATTTTTTATTTTAATGCCACATAAGCGTCACGTTAATGCCACGTAGGACAAAGACTGGGTCAACACTGCCACGTGTGCACCATGTCAGCGAAACCGCCTTTCAAAACCACAAAGGGAGTCAAATTACACCGGTTTTGCAAGTTTGGGGGTTAAGATTTCTGGTATTGTGATTTAGGGATACGATTTAGATTCAGTGGTCAGTTCAGGAGTCAAAGTGATCTTATTCCTTTAATTTAACTTGGAATAAGTACACTTGAGGTCCCTTAACTCGTCAACGAATCCCATTTTCGTCCTTCAACCTAAAAACCAGATACCCTCAACTATCAAAACCAGGCAAAGTAAGTCCCTCAGCGGTTTTGATGGTGGTTTTAGCTGACGTGGTGCCTACGTGACCGGTTTGACTTGGTCTTTATCTTATGTGGCGGTGACGTGACACTAGAAGCAAAATATAAAAATGAAAAATAAAAAAAAATATAGGGCCCACATGTCAGTCAGACAAAAGGAAAAAAGAATGGGACCCACCATCCTCTCTATCCACGTATGAGTGGACGACGAGGGAGGGAGCGACCGGCGCCTCCTCTTTGCTCCCGGCATCCTTCCTCGCCGGCCGGCGAGGGGGGCGGAGATGCCCGTTGGCCGCCGCCCACTGCGCCGTACTCTTCGGCGGGCTGCGACGCGGAGCTAGGCTACCAGGGTTGCGGGAGTTGGAGGGCGGCGGGAGGATGGCGTGGATGACGGTGAGGAGGGTGTGGACGAAGTAGTACGGGAGGTCAGCGATGGAGGTGGAGTTGCGGCCAAGGAGACGTGGGGGGACAGCAAGCACCGTCTTGCGTACCTCGCCGAGACGACGGTGATCTTCAAGGACATCGTGCAGATGCGGGACGAGCAGTGGTGGCGCGCACTCACCTCCGGCTACGTCACACAGTGGGAGGCCATGCACCCGCAGAAGGTGGACGCACTCTTCTATGCGCACTCGCTCAGCGAGGTCCACGCGCTGGCGTTGCTGCTAGAGCGGTTCTGCACCACCCCCGGCTGTAAGGCTTACCTCGTCGTGTCCGGCGGTGGGCACTACCCCTGCAGAGGAGGCGGCGACGGTGCTCAAGTGGCCCAAGGTGGTGTGCAAGGAGAGGCGGTTCAAGATCTTCGACCTTGCCGTCGGCGCGCTCTCCGGCCCATCCCACTCCGAGGTGCCCGTCCTCCAGGCCGTCTACTCTAGCATGCGTGGTATCATCCGGATGCAC